CCCCCCCCAATTACTACATAAACATATCAAGTGAGTCTCCTTATGGAAAATAACGATCGGATTTGGCTGATATATCTTCATAAAAAGGAATAATTCAAAGATAATTATCGGGATTTTATACCTGTCTGAACAACGCTTTATGAAGGACTTCCCTATTACAACGGACGCTATTTCATAAGTTTTACGCCGAATGAGCGAAAGGACATATTTTATGGGTCGTATTATTTAGTTTATAGTGGTAATAAAGTTAGGGATAAGTGACTGCATGGTTAGTTTGATTTTGCTATGAGGCCCTCCAAGGGATAACTGTTATGATGGCCACGGCGTATTCTGTTCTCTCCTCTGTCGGTACTCTGGGTCAAATGAGATACGTGTGCTATTAGATATACATAATATGTAATATTCCCGGGTTCAGTAAAATGGTATGATTTAAATATATTGTTAAAGTAAACGATTTTTTTTTCAATTTATACGTCTCTGCACATATATTTAAAATTACCGGCAGGTAATCCTACACTCGCTGATGATGTTGCCTTAATTGCTATAACACCAAATATAAAATTTCGAACATAAATATTAAATTATTGAATATTGCAACGTTTGACACTCCATACCTTGCTACAAAATATGCTGAATATATGTCACACCTACAGCACGACATGGCAGTATAGATTCAATAATTCCAAATGCTCTATTATCGTGATAGGCAGGTTTATTCCAAGGGAACCTCCGTTTTCCTGGTCAATAGGAACCAATCCTATTCAAATTGCATTATCATAATGATATTTACACCTCGGCGTCCCAGTTTCTAATAGAATGAACAAAGGCGAACGGGTTTGCTAAAGCATGTGAAAAAGAAAGAAGAGTCATCTATGCTGTTCTTGAAATTAATGCAAAGTCGACTTCCATGCAAGCTTTAGTGAAAGTTAATCTATACAGGAAAGTCGCCATTCCATCAATTCTCTTCGGATGCGAACATTGGTCGCAAATCAACCAGACGGACATCCGTAATTTAAATACATTCCAGGATTAGCTGCCAAACTTATCCTAAACGTAAGGAAAGGGACACGGTCAGACATTGCAGAAAGCATATTGAGGATCCAGCTGGCGAATAGGGGCCACTATCGACCAACGGAAACTCATCTTCCTAGCACAACTGATCCACCTAGATTACATTGTAAAAAGAATGTTCTTAGTCCGTCTATATAGCTATATTATAGACGGAAATACAACACAACAATGTGGTTTCATCCCGGATATATAGTTGCAATACTTCACAAATACAACCTTAGATCCTATCTCGATAAGGACCAGCGAGAGTTCAAATTCCCGGGAAAAAGGGATAGTAAACGTATCGTAAAGAGAGCCATTAGCCGTTTTGAAAATATTGCCTTAAGAACGAGACTATCCAACGATGATGACTTTATTAGATTTAGACGAATTCATTCGACGTACCATCCCTTTGTTCTGTGTGCTGCTTGCACATGTACGAAGCATATTAGACAAGTGCACTCCTTGTGTAATGTTTTGACCTGTGTTAATTCACATCAAATCCGACGATGTACCTGCTGTCAGATAGACGTCCAAGACACGACCCGCCATGGACCACAAGTTTATAGTTATCTAAATGACATGGAAGACGAGGACTTCTTGTGTGCACTTTTTTGGTGCAGAGTCCCTAGTCCCAGACTTGCCAGACCACCCCACCAGAGACGAGTTCAGACTTAAGTGTGCAGCCTTCATCAGAGAAGCTATGCACATCTATTATAGCATTAACTGAGCGGACACTGCTACTCATCTATTTGCTGAACCGACAATTGTGTTTTTTTACCAATAATATATATAATATATAAAGAAATGTAACATATATTGAACTGTGATTACATATGATGATCATTCGTAATCGTAGTCTGAGAAAGCCTATTATGCTATTATCCTATCACTATTTTTATTACTAATTAATAAGGTTATAATAGTAACTGAGTATCGCTAAAATATTAGCTGAATATTGGTGGTAGCGCATAACAGTGATATGTGCGTGCGTGTGTGAGGAAGGGTGCGCTCGTGTGTGTGTGAGGATGTGTGCGTGCGTTTGTGAGGTGTGTGTGCTTAAGTGTGTGAGGGTAACTGCATGAGTGCGTGCGTGTGTGCGGAAGTGTGCGTGCTCGTGTGTGTGATGATGTGTGCGTGCGTAAGTCTGATGATGTGTGTGCGTGTATGTGCAAGGAAGTATGCGCGCGGGGGTGGGGGCGGGGGAGGGGGCGTGCGTGCGTGCGTGTGTGCATGTGGGAGGGAGAGAACGTGTGTTAATGTACTGAACCAAGGAACGTGTTTTCCTCAGTGTCTTCTGTTATTGTTAATGTGTATATATTTTGTGTATATATGGGACAAAGAAGTAATTCCAACAGTGTGGACAAGTTTAGGTTGTCAAATTTTCGGAGCGATCCGCTCCTTTTTTAAGACACAGTGAAACAGAACAGTTACATGTACATATACATCATATTACAAGAAGATAGAACTGATATACTATAATTCTATATATATATAATTCTATATATGGGGCAAAGAAGTAATTCCAACAGTGTGGACAAGTTTAGGTTGTCAAATTTTCGGAGCGATCCGCTCCTTTACTTCTTTGACCCATATAATTCTATGTATGTATTTTGTGTGTATATATATATATATCTGGTGTTTCAATGTTTATCTCCATATCGGAGGAAATAAAGACTGATGATGAGTTTCGGGCAAACAAATATCCCGATTAGGTTAAAATCGTTACGGCGTCAACAAGTCGTGTTCAAAAAGAACACGCCTAAAAAACGGACGGTTGTTTCAGCGTGTCACTCACTGTATCTGGCTCGTCGATTGGTTGATAGAACGTTTGAGGTCGGTGTCGTCCTTGTAATCAAAAGCAGTGTACAACATTGTATCTTTTTCGGAGACTTGTTGTTTGCGCGCTTTGTCAACTTACGATTACGCATACACGTATATGGAAATGTTTCAAGCCATGTCTCATGACTTGAATGTTTTGTGTATAATGTACTTATCCACATTTTCGTGAACTATAATGGTATTTATGATTACAAGAGGGCAAAATGAAGAACATTACACTGAAAGGTAATTTTGTAAATGTTTCAAGCCACATACATATATATCTACAGGTAATAGACACAACATATCCTATGCCTATATTCTAATATGTAATTAGTAATTACATATTAGAATATAGGCATAGGATATGTTGTGTCTATTACCTGTGTATATATCTATATCAATTAATTGCCATATTAGACTGTTTCGTTGAGCATATTATCCACATGCTATTGCCTACACAGGGACGTTCCTATGACCCAGAGTGAAAAAAATACCTTTCATTCTGGGTCATAGGAATGTGTCAAGTCCCTGTGGGTGCGTATATTGCAAAAAAATGCATGATTATTTTGATACCGGCAGCATATATTTGCCGGTATAAGTATTTCCTGTCTTGATAAAAACTAAACAGTTTCAATTGTGATTGCAATATTTATTCAATATTGAATAAAAACTTAATAAGAATGAAAACAATTAGGTATAATTTTCCGGGAAATTATCTCCATGGATACGCTCCATCGAGAGTAACACTGCAGCTGATATTCGTGGGTACACAATGTACTATCGGCACACAGGTTATCTAACGTCACTGTACCCAAATCGGGACACTTTTTAGTTAAATATCAATGTTCTTTATACAATACTATACTATCAGTTCCAAAAATGTTTGTTCCTTTTACTTAAAAAGATACTATGATATCCACTTTACATTTTTATCACAATTCGATATTTCGGGCGCGTGGTTCTATAAAAAGAACGCGAAATACCATCAGAGTTACGTAGGCCGTTGAACCGGCATTACTGTACCCTGGAAGAGACACTTCCAGTATTTTGGCGAATATTTGGGTATAAACGATCAATATCGGCAGAAAATATGCATAGTTGAAATATGTTAGAGTCAACGAGGGTTCTGATTAAATTTCTTCTCCAAACTCTCATTAGTTTTGATAAAATAGACTTTTGAAAATGATACCCAAATAAATAGCGTCGCACGGTACGTAAATCAGGAAAGTCTTGTTTTCGTAATTATTCTTACCTTTAAATTGTTCAAGCTTAATACAGTTTAATTGTCATGACAATATTCTCAAATAAAACTGCATTTTCTTCGCATAGAATGAGAGTTTCTTGGGCCGATTGCACACTTACTTTTATTATAAAATAAAATGTTATCGTTTTCGTTCACATCCTTGTAAGCAGGTATGAAAGTGTTGCACCGTTCTATGATATTACCTCTCAGTGCAGCGGCCGGTATGGACAGCTTTCAAGCATGTGTAATAATCTTCATTTTGCCCTCTTGTAATCATAAACACCATTATAGTTTACGAAAATGTGGATAAGTATACATGCAACGAAACATGCAAGTCATGACACATGGTTTGACACATGGACATGCAATGCAAATTTTACATTTCCATATACGTGTATGCGTAATCGTAAGTTGACAATGCGCGCAAACAACAAGTCTCCGAAAAAGATACAATGTTGTACACTGCTTTTGATTACAAGGACGACACCGACCTCAAACGTTCTATCAACCAATCGACGAGCCAGATACAGTGAGTGACACGCTGAAACAACCGTTCGGTTTGTAGGCGTGTTCTTTTTGAACACGACTTGTTGACGCCGTAACGATTTTGATTGTTAATTACGGAAATAGGAAGTACATCCCTAGTTGAAAATACAATGTAACAATTTCCGCATATTCTAATGAGTCTAGAGTTGTGATAATTTTTATTATTGACAGAACAGTGTGTTCTCTCAATATTAAAGTATTTCAAAGCAATCCAGGCTTTAATTCAGTTGTTTATTATCAATGAGTCACATGTGTCTATGTTTCTGTACTTCAGGAAACCGGCTACCTATTTCACTACTGTGAAGTTTTTCAAGAAAGATAACTCTTACATGCAATTACTATGTGTATATGGTTTTATTATATAATGTCAATTTTTAATCGTTTATAGATAATTAATTTTACACAATTTCAGCATATTAAATTGATATACATTAATGCAATACTAATTTATGGCACTATCAATTTTATTGACATTTCTTGCAAAAAATGTGTCTTTATGTGTCTTTTTTTTTTTCAAAATTCACTCCTTTTTACATAAATTTCAATTTAAAATCCTTAAAATTCTGACAAGCGTTATTTTTTTGCGGTCGATTTTATTTCTTAACTTCAAAGCAATATAACTACAAAGTTCGAAGAAATTCTACTGAGAAATGGTGACACAAACCTATTACCTTAAGCCTATATCATTCGCTTTCTTGCTAACATGTTTGTTAAAATAAATTTGACACTAACACACATAAATGGTCATAAATGTGATATGTGCTTACATAGCAGCATTAACTGCAGGTGAGTGGTTCAGGCTCATTGGGCCTCTTCTTTGTGGCAATATTTTTGCCAAGTATTTAAAATAACAAAGAGATATTTCAAAAGGTGGGGGTGAACCATCAGAAACTATTGCATATTTTCCAATATAACCGGTATTATACGTAAGTAAAGAAATGGCGAAGATCAATACAGTAACTGATATCACGGAATTAGATTATCTAAATCCGTGCTGATATGCAAATAACAAAACAAAATGCGTACGATATGAAACTCCAAACTAAGGAAAAGTATAAAGTATAAACTACCAGAGAGATATTACTTTTTTTTATTTGTTAACATCACAGTTTCTGATAAGGTATTTTGGACAGAGGTTTTCTTTTGAGGAATGCTGCCGGATTTTATTCTCGTACAGAATAAATCCGGATATTTGCGACCGATGACTCATTCGCGATATTAGATACGTCCAAGATGTCCGCTGCCATGTGATAAAGCATCGACTGAAGGTCGATAAGAACATAGGAGAAACAACATAGGTTTACTCTACAGACAGCTTATCTTTTGCCAGTGCATGACAGAGATAGACCACTAGTTTGATTGCATTTTAAAAAGACGGTATGTTATTGTTGTAGCATCAAATAAGTACATAAACTTTATCTTACGCAACCTTCCTGTATATAGAAACCAGGTTCTCAAAAATGAAAACGCTCCTTTTGTAGAAAATATTTTGCTGAAGATTTCATTGAAAATGGTTAGATGGAGATCGCTCTTGCCAAAAGTTTAAATGTTTAAACAAAACAGTTTGCTCATTTTCAGTAGACCTAGAAAAATGAAAACATTTTTGTTTATTTCAACTTTCTTTTTACATCGTGTTTCTTTACTGTACTGTACTCACGGACTTAGATAACGATCTAATCTAATTCCGTGCTGTACTGTTAGACTTACAGTAAGTTAGGTGGAGCAGTTCAGAGTTGGGACATACATGTACTACATACTTGTTTGTACTTGAGATACATAAATTGTTTCATTCATCTTATTAACTATTATATTGTAGTAATATTACGATCTACACCACATTAGCGTTATCTTGGTCAGATTTTAATTTAACATAGGATTAATATTATACGGTCGCAATCTAGCTAGAGGAAATTTCCCTTTAGCTCAGTGGCCGTAGAACATCTGACTAGGAACCTAATGATCATGGTTTCGATCCCTGGTGGAAGCACATATTATTCTCTTTCCTTTTACACAAGATCCATCACTGGCATCAGACCTCTTGTCTATTACGCCATATGCATGTTGTAGGGGGAAAGTTCAAACGCATTATAAATTGTATGAGTCTGGATTCCAGCTGCATGCAGGTTGAAGAGTTTTTAATATCCAAGACAATGGTAGAGTATCGGTATAACCTAGATAACTGTTTAGAGCTGCTTTCAAGTTGAGCAATGTTAATGTTATTAGAAAAATAATTCTGTAATGTCTTCAGTATACTAAATATAAATCTGAGAAACTCCATATGGTATGTGAAAACAGTTTCGAAACAAGGATTAACATTTTTAGGATGGCTGTTCAAACACATGACCAGATAAATAACAACTTGTCAGAATTATTAATGCTTAAGGGTCCCTGAAGCACTGCCATAAACTGTAATCCAACATTACTGTAGCTTTGATAAATCATTTCTGAAAAGAAACCTATATCGTGCGGGAAATGTTTGTGAGAAATAATACAGATGAAATATAAAAAAAGACAACAGTGTTCTGAGTGTTAAAACTGAGCGGGACTAGACTGGGATTCAAGCTCTGGACTTCAGATTGTTATACTATCATTAATATTCTTGAGTTACTTGCAAGGAAAGGGTTTGGGCTAAACTGTGCTATGTTTTCCAAGCAGAAGTTAAGGGGAGGTAATTAATTACTGTCTAGGAAAAAACACAGTGCAGTGGGACAGGGATCATAAAAACAAAAACGAATCATATAATATGTTCATTGTTCAGATGTAGAAGTATTATTTATGAAAGTGATTCATACAATGAACAAGAAGATTTAAACAGCGCTAGCAGTGACCATATGGCTGATTTTGCACTTCAAATTTAATTTTGAATGAATGAATATAGATCTGGACATGAAAGATGAAAGATGAGAACAATTATGTACTGCAGCCTTCTGGTTAATTGATTTGACATTTACTTTCTGTATTTTAGGAGATGAGGTAGCAGGACCATGTCAGGAGTTTTAAAAACACTCAGTATGGAAGACCTTGAAGGTCAACAAGGTCAAGGCGATTCCATGGTATCGGGTCGTAGTCTTGGCAACGGACAACATAGTCGTCCTCAGTCTCCACTTAAATTTTTTTCCCAAGCCAAAAAAACAATAAATGATATCTTCAAAGAAATACTGGAATATATCAATGAGTCAAGAACATTCCTCGCTGGTAAGTTCCTCAAGACATTGTATACTGAATATTGTCTAGTTACAAGTACCAAACTTGATTGAATTTTGTTTGAAATTTTGTAAGCATCATCATCAATATTATATTGTGTATGAAATTAAATACTGTAATATTGATGTGTGTAATACATCGTATGCTTCGTTTTACTCCACACTTTGGAATGGTTCAAGTCTGGTTTGGGGGATATTTAACTTAAGATGACAGTTTATTAATTTAGTTACTTATACATAATAGAAAGTTCAAGCATTCCTTTATATATGACATATATACCTGTAAAGTACAACTTATGTCAGTGATTGTATATAAAATTGTATACCTGGTAATTGATATGACAATGACATTTTTTTTCAGAGCACAAAGATGGGTCTGAGGAAAAGAAACATGTGGAAGAGTTTCAGGGTATGGTCAGAGGCATCATAGAAGTTTTAGCTCGGGATCACATGAAATGCTGCTTCTTTGGAAGGTAATTTATGTCAGGCAACACTTCAAACTTATCTCGAGGAAACCTTTTATAGGACACAGTTCCGTCAGAAATATTGGTATTGTCTCCGGCCGAGTGATGTATTTCCAATTTAATTCAGATAGTGTGGCACTTTCTGAAACCTATAGGTGCCAATGTCTGTTTGTTTTGATTTTTAGCTCACCGGGTCTGAAGGACAAAAGTGCCATACCGTAGCGTCCGGTCGTCCGTCCGTCGTCCGTCTGTCAACAATTTCTTTAAACTACTTCTATTCTTAACCACTGATTGGAATTTAACTTAATTTGATTGGAAGCATCCCTAGGTGGTGGGGATTCAAAATTGTACAAATGGTGGGGCTGACCCCCCCCCCCCCAGGGGGCTGGGGGAGGGGGCAAAAAGGGGGAAATTTGGCTATATTGCTTTAAGCGACATCTCCTCCTGAACTAAGAGATGGATATCAATCATATTTGACTGGAAGCATCCCTAGGTGGTGTGGATTTAAAATTGTACAAATGGTGGGGCTGACCCCCAAGGGGGCTGAGGGCTGGGCCAAAAGGGGGCAATATGGCTATATTGCTATAAAAGACTTCTTCCGTAGAACCATACCATGGATATTGATCATATTTGGTCGGAAGCATTCATGAGAGGCAGGGATTCAAAATTGTACAAATGGTGGGGCTGACCCCCGGGCTTAGGGGTGGGGCCAAAAAAATATATTACTTGGAAATGGTTGAGATCCCCACCATATAACCATATATACAATTGCTGAGTATTAAGAGAGGAATGCACGTTTGCTTCCAGGATGTCCCTATGGTCTTGCCCCACCCTTGGAGACTTAACCCCTGGGTCATAACTTTGAAACGGTGAAGATCCCCACCCCAAAACTATATATACAATTGTTGGGCATAAAGAGAAGAACGCAGTCATGCTATTAGAATTGACCCCAGGGTCTGCCCCACCCTTGCAGACATAACCCCTGGGTCATAACTTTGAAACGGTTGAGATCCCCACCCCAAAACTATACATACAAATGCTGGGCAAAAAGAGACAAATGCAGTCATGATATTAGAATTTATCCTGGGGTCAGGCCACAACCCTCGGGACCTAGTTTCTGAGTCACAGCTTGGAAACAGTTGAGATCCCCACGCCATAACCATACATAAAATTGCGGGGCATAAAAAATCAAATACAGATATGCTACAAGGATTGGCCTTGGGGTCTGGCATATTCCCTTGGATCTCATTTGGAGAATATTTTGCCATGATTGCTTAGATATCCAGGTGAGCGATACAGGCCCTCTGGGCCTCTTGTTTTGTATGTGATAAAATCTTGCTGAAAACAAGTAAGGCCAGTTTTCACATATGTACAGTATTTGAGGATAAAGAAGGGTCTCTTAATTGTAATATACCAGTTACATTGTAATACACCTAGTGATGGCAGTCATATGTTGGGATATGAATAGTATTGTTAGCTTGCAATGCCATGCATGTATCTGTATACATGTTATATCATCAGTAACTAGTTAACTAGGTTGTGCAATTGAATAGAGAAAAATTATAAAGTTTGGGGGAATTTATGATATTTTTCAACTCTGTTCATCTGTTGAGTCTAATAAAAGTGAAACTCCAGGGATTATGATGTTCACTTATGTTCTCTGCACCCCTGAATTATGTCATGATGAAATCTTTGTACACGCCACCTTATGAATGATATAAAAAGACTAGTTTGATCCTTTGATGGACATTAAAAGAATCACACAGCAATGTAATGGTAAAATTGAACAGCTTTTTAGTCAGGTGTCACTCCCTTGAAATCTTTAAAGAATAGGTGTTAGCGTAGCAATTGGTAAGGTTTTTCCACCTGAAACCAATTAAATAGTTAACATTTTGGAAGTGAGTCTAACCCCTGGAAATTTGAAGAAAATAAAATTAACTGCAGTAAATATATAAATGTCAATGGGAGATATTTGCTTTAAAATGTTCAGAAATAAATGGCTTTTCATGCAGTTGTATTTGGTGATGTTGGCCTTTGTGACATAATCACTCGTTTACATTAAGTTTATATTTACCATTCTATTAAAAGTGATTTTGTATATATATACATTTCAGGACTTCTAATGGGAAGAGCTCTGTTATAAATGCTATGTTACGAAAGAAAATCTTGCCCAGTGGTATTGGACACACAACCAACTGTTTCCTCCAGGTTGAGGGTTGTGACGGAATGGAGGGATGTCTGTACACTGAGGAGTCCGACGAGCCGAAAAGTGTCAACGTAAGTTACACAAACAAGGAGGAGGCAAAGTATTGTGCTAAATTTTAAAAATCTTGTCCTCGATTTGAGATTTCTGAGTCTACATCACACAGGTGTGAAAGATCCTGAAAGTCTTTAAAATCGATCTGAGATTTCTTGGTCAACATATATGGTTTATTTTTTGTCGTATATGTATGGCATGAACATTAGCTCTATAGAGCTATTCTTACGACATCACACACAGGAGTGATAGATTCTGTAAGTCCTTAACATATTAACTGTAATCGATTTGAGATTTCTTGGTCAATATGTATAGCATCTTACGACATCACACAGGAGTGATAGATTCTATAAGTCCTTAAAATACCTATCTTTTATAAAAGGTAATATGATTTTGTTAATTAACAGGAAAGTACACAAGCATAAATGCATTGATAACATAAATGTAATTTTGAAGGATTAGACATTGGAACATTGGCCATTCAAATAACAATAGGTGATAACTCTTAACATTTACAGTATGTGTAATATGTAAGATATGTAAGATAGCATATCACCTTAAGAGATCCTGATGTGTTTTTATTTGCAGTCTGTGAAGCAGCTGGCCAGTGCTCTGAGTACAGCCAAGCTGAAGGAAAACTCCTTGATCAGGATCTTGTGGCCCAAAGAAAAGTGTCGCCTCCTCAAGGAGGATGTGGTCTTTCTAGACAGGTCAGTCCCTTAGGCAGGATACAGAGATTTATTCAGGAATTAACATGCATAATGTTATGTGTGAAAACTTTGCTAATAATTGGTCAAAAAGAAATAAAACTCTTTAGAATTCTTAAATAAAATCAAGTTTTTACTATTTTAGCAAATATTTAGCTTTGTAGGCAGACAGTAGCAAAACCAGATTTGTGAGAAGTATGAAGTTTGTATTCCGTCTTTGCGTATTGCAGAGTTATCTTCTCTTGTGAGCAGGTGTTGATTGTTACGTCATTGGTTTGTAACGACATCAATTTTTGAGAAAACGACGTAATTTTCGACACACAAACCAATGAAGTAACAATCAATACCTGCTCACAAGAGAAGATAGCTCTGCAATATGCAAAGACGTAATACACTTGTTTTAGACTGTTTGATATGGCTTAGTCAGGACACAGCGGTAACATGGAATAATTACATTCGAAAATATCCGTCATACCAAAACACTGATTGGTAAAAATAGTGGTTTAGGAAATTATCACATCTTTTTATTGCATTGAAAGTTTTTGTAAAAAGCTTCCGGTGTGCTTGACATGTGATACACGTGAAGTGACAAAAAAGATAACTTTGTAAAACTAGCTTGCATTGTCAACCAGCGGATATGGAGAAAACAAAGGTTACAGGTACTGAAATCAAATCTAAAAAACAGTTAAAACTTGGGCCTTTTATATTGTTTCAGCCCCGGCATTGATGTGACTCCTGATCTAGATGATTGGATTGACAAATTCTGTCTAGATGCTGACGTTTTTGTGCTCGTGGCGAATTCTGAGTCAACTCTGATGAGGACAGTAAGTATCTTATTAAAGGGAAAAGACTCAAGATTCAATTATATATACTTGATGTTTCAATATATTGAGTTATGTTAATTATAGAGTTAAATTTGTACTTTCTTCAGGATGAGTTTTGTGTGTTTCTGTTGTTTTAATCATTCTGCATTGAAATTGATTGTGTGTTACTGTTAAGTAAACATTTGAATTGCTGTGCAGAATTGTTTAATCAAACCCTTATACATTCTAATTTGGACTTTCGAATTTGTAAAAAAAATGTGTTACATTTTGTAAAAGTACTGGAATACAACTTGGATCTTGGAACTTGGAACATCTGAGAGTATATGAAAAGCTAATATATGTGTTCACAGAATGTTGTGTAACCAAGCAAAATTTATTTAAATCGAAGGCAGATATTTGTTTTAAAAAAAGTCTTGATTACAATTTCAGGAAAAGAATTTTTTCCATAAAGTGAGTGACCGTCTTTCCAAGCCGAACATTTTCATTCTCCAGAATCGGTGGGATGTATCGGTGCTTGAGGAGGACACTGATATTGAGTCAGTATGTAATAGATCGATATCCTTAGAATACCTGTTTATTATCATTTAAATATTCTTTTAAGAGTATTAAAGGACAAATATCTTATTTCTTTGGCTAGTGATGTAAAGGAAAGTATGTCTTCCCTTTTACCACATCAATAAAAATGATTAAAATTTAACTGCTTGATATATAACAAATGTAGTTTCTCCTTGTTATACTTCAACGTTTTCATGTATTTTGCCTGAAGAATACATCAGAAAGGTTCTAAGTATGCCATTTGATCAAGGAGGAGTCTAAGTGGATGCTACATTGCGTGTGACAGGTTACTATATTTCGTGTCTTAACTGTTGTGTATAGGTGAAGGAACAACACTACCAGCGAAATGTTGAGTTTCTCTGTGATGAACTCAAAGTTGCAAACACTCAGGAGGCCAAGAATAGGATCTACTTTGTATCAGCGAAAGAAGCTCTCATCTCTCGTCTACATGAGGATAACCAGACTCCCACCCCAAGTATGTATTCCACAACCTTCTTACGTATTCCTCCTGATAATCCCCTACCTCTGGTGTTTTTTTAATGTAGCTGATAAGCATTAATTGTCACCTGTTAAAAGTGGTAGAGTAGTGCAGTGGATAGCACACTCACCTTTCACCAAGGCGGCCGGGGTTCGATTCCCCGATCCTACATTAAAAGGTATGAGGTCACCTGCCTGACCACGTGGGTTTTTCTCCTAGTACTCTGTGTGTTTTTCCCACATTAAGACCCTCCACAAGCTAATAGCCGGGACAACAAAAGTGATTTATATAAGTTGAAATAACTGGTTTCATAATTGTGTTGTAAAATAGATAAAGTTTAAATATAAAAGCGATGTTGAAAAGTAGAAAATTTCATAATGTCCATGAGCTGTGAGACTAAGCCTTTTGTTAGTAGCCTTGGCCACTAGAAAAATTGGTTTCTTGAAAAATTAACTAGTCCTTCATAAACTGCTCAGTGAACCCAGATATTTGTTCAGAAACAAATGTCCGCATGACTGTGTATCAAAATTTATAGAAGCATCTTCTCTTAAAAAGTTCTCAAAAGTGAAATACCAAGGTAGCTGGGGCTCTTGAATGATATTTTGGTTCTGGACTCGAGTAAAGTTGTATAATATGCTAGCTTATATAACCTACAGAATACTCAAGTGTTACTTTATAAAATACTTTATCATAACAAGATATATGGGATCATGAATTGTACATCTACTTTGTGTTCCAGCCGGATCCTTACAACGGGACTTCACAGACAGATTGTTTGAGTTCGCCAACTTTGAGAGAATGTTTGAAGTAAGCTTTTGGTATAAAGGGATATTAATGGAGAAATAAACTCACTGTCAACAGTATATATAAAGATAAGCAATAAATTTATACAGAATATACAATCAGAGCCTTTTCCAGCAGTTCCATAAATTTCTATACAATCAAATTGTCGGTTTGATTTGTCATTTCATACATGTTTAACAACCAAGTGTACATACACTTATAGCGTATTGTATGGACGTTGATTCCTTATTGTAAACTCGTACATACTTTACCCCTTTGTGTAAAGAAGCTTCACTGGTCTTTTGTCCGAAAGTGACGGGGTACATATCGTACTAGTCTTCGAAATGTCACATATAAACACTTACTGGTTGTGATACATAAGCCTTTCTACGGAAAGTTGCATAAATTATTTGCGACCTTGATGGAGGTACCGTACTAATTAAATGAAATACAATAAACCAATATCATTGTTAATTTTATTATAGGTGTGTATCTCTAAGTCAGCTGTAAAGACAAAGTTTGAGCAGCATGCCAAGAAGGGCAAGACAGTGAACAGTAATCTGAGGGAGGTGATGGAGAAAACCTACACAGACAGTTTACACCAAATGTAAGTCACTCTAGCTTACATCAAATGTAAGTCACTCTAGCTTACACCAAATGTAAGTCACTCTAACTTACACCAAATGTCAGTCACTCTAACTTACATCAAATGTAAGTCACTCTAGCTTACACCAAATGTAAGTCACTCTAGCTTACACCAAATGTAAGTCACTCAAACTTACACCAAATGTAAGTCACTATAGCTTACATCAAATGTAAGTCACTCCAGCTTACATCAAATGTAAGTCACTCTAGCTTACACCAAATGTAAGCCACTCAAACTTACACCAAATGTAAGTCACTATAGCTTACATCAAATGTAAGTCACTCAAGCTTACACCAAATGTAAGTCACTCTAGCTAACACCAAATGTAAGTCACTATAGCTTACATCAAATGTAAGTCACTCCAGCTTACATCAAATGTAAGTCACTCAAGCTTACACCAAATGTAAGTCACTCTAGCTAACACCAAATGTAAGTCACTCTAACTTACACTAAATGTAAGTCACTCTAACTTACACCAAATGTAAGTCACTCTAGCTTACACCAAATGTAAGTCACTATTACTAACACCAACTGTAAGTCACTCTAGCTTACACCAAATGTAAGTCACTATAGCTTACATCAAATGTAAGTCACTCTAACTTACACCAACTGTAAGTCACTCTAGCTTACACCAAATGTACGTCTCTCTAGCTTACATCAAATGTAAGTCACTCCAACTTACACCAAATGTAAGTCACTCTAACTTACATCAAATGTAAGTCACTCTAACTTACACTAAATGTAAGTCACTCTAACTTACACCAAATGTCAGTCACTCTAACTTACATCAAATGTAAGTCACTCTAGCTTACACCAATGTAAGTCACTCTAGCTTACATCAAATGTAAATCACTCTAACTTACACCAAATGTAAGTCACTCTCGCTTACATCAAATGTAAGTCACTCTAACTTACACCAACTGTAAGTCACTCTAGCTTACACCAACTGTAAGTCACTCTAGCTTACACCAACTGTAAGTCACTCTAACTTACACCAACTGTAAGTCACTCTAGCTTACACCAACTGTAAGTCACTCTAACTTACACCAACTGTAAGTCACTCTAGCTTACACCAACTGTAAGTCACTCTAGCTTACACCAAATGTAAGTCACTCTAGCTTACACCAAATGTAAGTCACTCCAGCTTACACCAAATGTAAGTACAGTCAAACTTCTATAAATCAAACTTTGAAGATTCTAAACAGTTTTCCAGTGTCCCAGCTTCATGGGAGTGTTTTAAATATTAACTCAATATCCAATTTAATATTGTTATTTATGTTTATGACCTTTTGCTTCAACTGTACAGGGAAGAGTCGATACGTGTCCGACAGGAAACAGCTGATGAACTTGATTACCTGGAGAAACAGCTGACCTTACTGACTGGTGACATTAAAGACAAAATCCGCTTCATGGTGGATGACGTCGAACGAAAAGTCAGTATTTGGCATTGTCAAGTTTGTTAATAGATTTCTGTATAAAGAATTATTTGACATTTTCCTATAGGTTAGTTTTGAGAGATTGTAGACATAGTTTCCTGGTGTGTTTTCTTTATTGTGATAGTATTTTATAATAAGGTTATCTTAATAAGGTTATTATGGTTTCTTTCCGCTGATTCATGTGTTCAAATATGATCATCTTGTGATAGCCTCGCCTTTTCTTCCCTGTATTTTAAGGTTTCCACAGCATTGAGTGAGGAAATTCGGCGCCTATCCTCTATTGTAGATGAGTTTGAACGCCCTTTCCATCCTGACCAAGTACTCCTCAATGCCTACAAGAAGGTGAGCATCAGTCTGATCGTGACAAATCTCTGATAGTACAATGTCAGCGTTTTGTTAAACCATGTTAGTGATGTTTAAGTTGCAAGCTGCAGGTTTTAATATAAATTTCAGAGAACATACCAAAATGTGGGTGATTTCACTAGATGTGCATTATTTGTCAAATTGAGAACCCATATACGTATAAGTCAATGATGAGGTCTTATAATGATCAATGAGCTATCAATAAGTCGCCAGAGCAAAATCTTTAACCTGAACAGATAAAATTGGCTTCTCAGTCAACTAAATTTGTCTCAAGTCCCATTAAGGTTTATACTCCATAAACCTCAACAAAACAGAGTTCATTCCTGAATTGTAAATTGTTCATGGTCCAAGTCATTTTGATAAGATATACAGGAACTGTGTTTTGGAACTCATTGCTATCTCTCGCCAAGGAACTACACTTGTTTGTGGAGGGCACTGTCTGCCAGAACCTGACAGGCCGGTGCTCTACGGCCATAGAGAAGACTATAGAAAGGGTCGAGACGCAGCTCACAGGTAAAGGGGCACGCTGGTTCATCAGCAATCACCCCTGTGTTGCTACCACCTCTCTGGGAGTCTTGTGTTATCACAATCATTATTAGTTAGTCATTATTTTTTTAACTGTTTTTTTTTACGGTTATAACAAGTGTGGGTCGTTCTGTATACTGTTTTCTAGATACATGCATATTTGTAACTGTATCTCAAAACCAAATTTTACTGCCAAAACTCAGCAGTATGAAATTCACTTTATCTCCAGAACAAATTGATAAATGTGTTCAAAACGTAGCATCGTAATTGATGAATTAAAGAAGAGCAGATGACAACCTTTGATAATCTGATGTACAGACCACACACGTGTTAGGACCAGCATGCTGTACTGTAGAAGGCAACAACAGGAGACTGATGAGTACCAAGTGTACAACTTCTAATTCTCAAAACCATTAACATTGTGTAAAATATACTGTATGGTATAGCACTTACAACAGGTCACTGGTGATCACTAAATCTAGAACTTCTGATTTACAAAATCATTCAATACTTGTGAAGTTCACTGCATTTTCAAGTGGTGCACAGAATGTGTGATCTCTCTTTTTCAAATCTTACTTAAACGTTTTTGTATCTCCATTTATGTGGTCACTTTCTCATTGACAGGGTTTGTACAGGCATGTAACATCCTTAAAATTATACGACATTGTCTCGAAAAGTCCTTGAAAACAGAAATTACTACTTCCAGTTTGCACTAAAGAATCTAAGTTCACCATTGCACATGTTGTTTTTGGTATTTTCCTTGCATTCAGATATAGTATATAATAAAAACTAATATAATCGTTACACTTTGATATAAAGTCTCTAAAAGTAAAAAAGAATGAGCTGGAATTGAATTTGATGATCGAAATCCTGTACGAACCCTACATTTAAATTGAGTGGATTTTCCATATTGTGTCTGTGATCTGCGCATTCACAAAGTTAATCTTTTTCTCGTTTCAATACAGTATTAATATTCTCATTTCATCTTAACAAAAAGAAAAACAATGCAGTTGTGCTCAAAAAACGCACAACAATAAAAAGGTATAACTCAGTCTCGAGTCGTTGTCTGTCTGTGTCATTGTGACCTTGTATTGCTATGATTGGTCATTCCCATGACCTTGTGTGGCTGTAATTGGTCATTCCCGTGACCTTGTGTGGCTGTGATTGGTCATTCCGTGACCTTGTATGGCTGACTTTGGTCATCCCTCTGTTGTCCTCTGAATGTCTTGACCACCCTGTTATATCCCCATCAGGAGTTGCATAGCCATGTTGAGGGTGGGCTGGGCCGGAACCTACAGCAGCGCTGCTCGTACGTACTACAGCATCCTGTTGAAGAAACACAAAAGGAAATGACAGGTATTATGTTCCCCATCCCCTCCCCTTTTGATTCCACTACTCCCTTCTCCCCGTCCATGTCCCCCCTACCCCCGTCCCCAGCCTTCTGTCAGACCATCTACCACTTCCTATCTCCTGTATTCTTCCCTAAAGTGCCGTCTTCGTAAACACTTTGTTTACTAACTCCAACAAATTTATAAAATCACATTTAGATGATGAAAGGTATCAAGGATTCTTCAGCCAGTTTGCCCCATATTCACAGGAAGTTCAAATTTACCCCTGTATGTATGTCATTCACTGTTAAGGCTCATCGGCCTCTTGTTTTTATGTAACTTCTTTTCCTCCCCAAACTTTCCCTTCTCCCCTTCTGTACCCGTCCCGATCTTCTCCTTCACATCATTTCTCAGACAGACAAGACAGTTTTGACAACGTTTCATGACCAATGCCTAAGGTGTGCCTCAAAGCTGGATATTTGAACCATTATTTCATTATTTTAGCAATATGTTTTTTTTATCAGTGGTTACTTTTTTTACAAGAAATATAAATGTAGTCATGTCATTGCATGGATATTTAAATATACATATTTTATTTTTGAGAATTTTCTGCCTTTGATGTAAACATGTTTTAAGTCTCATTTTTTTGAATTTTATTTCATCACCTGTGTTTTATACAATATACAAATTATCTGTATGTTATCCATCTTTGGCACAAAGATTAGTTGCATGTAACTTCATCAAACTATGTACAATATCTTGATATCAGTATTTATATTGGTCATTGCTACATACTAAAACATTAATGGTGTCGGGGGGGGGGGGGGGGGGGGGAAGGAAAACAAATGATTCTCAGTTCATTGTTTTGTTCAACCTTGAATAAGGAGAAGTATCAGTGACATACAATAAATGTCTTGTGCAGCATCACATTTGTTTGTTAAAATTGGAACAACAATAAGGCTGCAAAAAAGGCCAGGCAGTTTGATGGATGGGTCAATGTTTGATGATGCTATTTCTAAGGAAGCGCAAGACAGATCTCAAATTTTGTATACAGGTTCCACTTGGATCAGTGTTTTGCAACAACACTGCCAGGCAGTCTTTGATTTAAAGATTTCTCATAAATAACTCGACGGATCATTTTCAAGCTTTGCAGACAGTGCCCATTGGACCTTAGTTAGGCAAATGTAGTGCCAAACTTATTAAGCAGTATTGTAGGAATTTACACCAGGTGTCGCTTGATCTAAGGTCTAGGTCACAAGGGTGTCGGACACAAAGGTCAAATGTATGTTTATTCATTGTTTACTATGCTTAATATCATTATGAAGTGATATTATATTCCTGAGATTGATATCAAGTGGCCCATTCACAACTATTGGTCCAGGTCCAGTGGTCAAAGGTCAAGGCTATAAAAGTCAGATTTATTTTCTTCTCTAAGTTAAACATTGCTTAACATCATGAAGTAATATTTCAGGGCTTGACCTGGGTCCGAAAGTGTCCTTTGATAGAGATGAATGATCAAGGTCTACGAGGACAAGTTTTACTGCTTTCAGATTAAATTATTTTTTATAGTGAACTTTTCATTACATCATGAAGCAATATTTCAGGGCTTGACTCGGGTCCCAAAGTGTACCTAGATGGAGATGAGGGAGCAAAGTCTAAGAGGACAAGTTTTACTGCCTATCCAGTGAAACATTTAAGCATTAAACAGCATTCTGTTCTGTGTTAAGGTCCTAAAACATGGCACAGTATTGCAGACAAAATGAATAATGCACGTCATGATTGTTTGTCTGCAATCCTGTCCCGTGTTATAGGACCATAGCATGGAGCAGAATGCTGTTTTATGCTTATATTTACAATTTTCATTTTCTTTTTTTAATTTTCATTTCAAAGTTCACAATGCACTTTTAAATTCGACGTTTGTTCAAGAGGTTGAACAGCCCATAGAATAGCTCACGGATAATAGTCTTACATAAAACGGTGAATAACATTGAATCATAGTGGTTTGTTTTGCTTTACTGCTTGTTAGTGCTGAGGAGAATAGTGATCTGGTAGTTAGTCAGACTTGTGGAGATATCACTACGCCTGTGTTATGGTCTTTTAACACGGAACTGACTGGCTTTGGTTGTGTTATATAGTGGCAATGCAGAGCAAATGTGAATATTTGACTATAACAAAACTGATGCTATGAAGTCCCAGGAAAATTAGGCAAGGTTCTTTTTTCTGTGGTTTATATAAGTCACCTTTTCTTGTTGATCAGAATGTTAAGATGAAGGTTAATTTAAAATCTATAACAAAATCAATCCGTGTAATTATGATTGTCTTGAGGACTAGATTTGTGTCGCATGATTACCAGCTTTTCAAATTACTGTAGCTGTTGCTATTTACAGAGCGTATTGCTGTGTTACTTCCGGAGGAAACTAAACAACAGCTGTACAGCCTGGTACCGCGACGTGACTTTGAGATTGCTTACCGTCTGGACTGTCGTAATCTGTGTGCTGACTTTCAGGAGGATATACAGTTTCGTTTCTCCGTGGGTCTCACTGCTCTAATGCAGCGGTTCCTGGGTAAAAGGGGAACACACTCTGTTTTGACAGGTCACTCGAATACGGTAATAGAATCAACAAATGATTTTTCTTGCACAATAAACTCTCCATGATTTTTGTAGAGCTAGATCATTAAGGACATTTCATTGCTGTCTGACTCTTAACATTCTAAGATAATGATTAATTAAAAATGTACACAAACAAAAAGTTTGATTAAGCAACATTCCATTTTAAAAGTGATTAGTTATTAAATAGTTATACAGAAGAAAGTACACTCACATGGTATATAATTTGGAGCTAACCTTGTCATCTTTCTATGTGAAACAAAATTAAATTAAGATCTTGAAAGTCTCTGTAAATTGACAGCTAGAAACAGATTACTACAGAATAATAGGAAATGGCAGTCTTTGGTATAGTTATTAATAAATATTAAATCCCCAATAATCCAGGTTTTATATTGACTTGTTAAATAAATATTAGGTTTTTGCACATAACAAATAGATTACACATTTAACCTGTAAACAGTTCTTACCTGTTATTAAGTGCACTCTCAGATTTTACAGATTTTTATCATAAGTGGTTAAAAATAGAAAAATATCCCTGAACAGCACTTATTGTATATTCTATCTAGTGCATTTCCCCCACTATCACTCCCACCCCCAACATACTAAACCCAGGTATATGATTAGCTGTTTAGTGTAGTTAAAGGTTTCTGTTACAGATACCAAGACCAATGTCAGAGGGAGGCCCCCAAACACCTATTGGAGAGTTTTATCGTCCACTTGCCCCTGAGCAGAACAATCAAGTGCTCATCTCCATGATTACCACCTTTGCTTCAATCACGTCGCGTACCACCATGGGGGCCATCATCGTTGGAGGTCTTGTAAGTACAACTGGCTGATCATTTAGGTCTTAGCTAGCCTTATGAAAGTGAAACAAGTCCTAATGTAAATATCAGTTGAAATATGAGAATTTACATCCGAGACGAACGTGATATTAGTCCCACTATAATTACCTGGTTGTAAAATCACGTAAACATCCAAGATGGCCACCACAGCCTCTGATTGGTTGAAATTTAGATATTGACTGATGTAGGTGTATTATGACTTTTCACACAGTACAGTTACTTCAATCAGCATAATTTAGGACTGTGGGGCTAGTTTTGGGAACTTGTGCAACAGCCACTGTTACAATCAAAACTTTGTTATGTATTGATTTTAGAGCTTTATATCTATGTTGACTTTACATTTGGCCCTTTGACCTTTTAGATTGCCAAGGCAGCAGGCTGGAAGGTGATTGTGGTGACTAGCGGCCTGTATGGCCTGCTTTACATGTATGAGCGGCTGACTTGGACAAACAAAGCCAAGGAGCGAGCGTTCAAACGTCAGTATGTTGACTATGCATCCAGTAAACTCAAACTGATCGTGGATCTGACCAGTGCCAACTGTAGCCACCAAGTGCAGCAGTAAGTGCTTTATTCCTATCCATTTATAGACTTGATGTTTCCTTTATATTTGATTATTTGAATGATGTCTTAAGTATGGTGTGACACAAAAATATGATATATCAATATATAGTGTGTCACAAAAGATGTTTACAATTCAATTTGCTGACTTATAATTAAACTTTATTTACAACAATTACAAAACAAGATTATATCAGCTTGTATTAATCATTCTTGCTGGCCAAGATGATGGTGCACAGCTGGCCTTAATGTGGGAGGAAATGGGAGCACATGGAGTAAACCCATGGGGTCGAGCAGGTGACCCCATACCTTTTCACATCCCATTGGGGAATCGAACCCTGGCGTTCTTGGTGGAAGGCGTTGAGATCACTGTCCAATGTATCACCCGACCACTTGCATAGATTCTACCTGGAATCTTCTTTTGTAAATACAGTTGAACCTCGTTATCTCAAACTCTTTTAACTCGAAGACCCCGTTTATCTCCAAGTATAACTCAGCTCCCGGCCAAATCTCTTTTTTATCTTAGTAAATAAAACTCTAATAATTCGAACCCTGAAAAGTCGAAAATCTCTGATACCTCGAAGTAAGATATTGGTTTTGGTAGCGTAAAACCAACATCAAAACATCGTCTACTGCATAGTGTTCGAATTTCATTTTGTCACTTATTAATTCTTTGATACAAATAAAACGCAAAAGTACAACATCTCGCCATTCTGTGTTTATGAACATCTTTCGTGAGTAGACTAGCATGAAATCAGTAAAAAAATATTGCGATAAAGCTTCAGACTGTTAAGTGTACGGACTGTCAAAACCATGTTGTTTATAATAAAAAAAAAAAAAAATCATCATTGTTGATCGACAGTATTTTGTTCTTACTGCGCGTCCGTTTCATAATTTGTACACCCAAACAGACAACAGTGCAAACCGGATCATTTGTCACAAAGCAGGGTCATGCATAAAAGAGTTCCACAGTTAAAATCTCAACCTAGAAGACCTTCATGAGCTCATGTTTTTACAGGAGCCAGTATGGCTTTGAAAGTCAATCGAGAGATTTAAGAACAATACGATAATTGCTGTTGATTACATCGAGTTGAGAAGGTGTCAGGTGTCACATTTGGCTTTAATGAATCAATGTGTTCATGTACGATATAATTTGTTTCACTTTGTGTGTGTTTTCATTTAAAGAGTCAACTATGCGTACGCTCCATTACAGTGATTTGTTTTAGACTTGCGCACTTTCATTTCCGCATTGAACAGTACGAGGTCAGAGACAGCGGGATAGTTCAATTTTTAAATGTAACACTTAAAACTTGATGGACTTGCAAAAATAAATGCAGACCTGGAAAGACTTTGCAAAGATCAAGACTAGCCAAAAACAACATTAAATCACCAGACCCGTCCATATTTAACAAAGAATTCACAATATGGTTCAACTGTTTTGATTGCGTTAAACGAAAGTACACTCTATTTTTGTAATCATGTATATTGTAAAATTACATACCTGTAATTTTTATATGGATTGCTTATATCATTCATCGATTGATTATTAATAAAATCAACAAATGCTAGTGCTATGTCCAAACAGCAAATTTCATACCAAATTTATGAACCCGCATAACTCAAATACTCGGATAACTCAAAGTTTTTCACAACCCCGTCGACTTTGAGGTAACGAGGTTCGACTGTAGTATTAGTCTACCTTATACAGTGGGAGGATAGTGTTTCCTCACATTGGAGTTTATATATATAACTGATGAAGGCTACAAGTTAACATTACAGTAACATCTTTTCTGGGTCTGACAATGTTTCAGCTGTACATATGATTGGTATTTATTTCTGTTTTTTTTTAGGGAGCTGTCGTCTACTTTTGCACGTCTCTGTAATCAAGTTGATCTATCAAAGAACAAACTTCAGGGAGAAATTGGTGATCTTGACAAAAGCCTTGCCCATCTCAAAGAGATATCGGCCAAGGCAAAACTTCTCAGGTGAGTACGGAGACACAACCACAGGTTTGTCAGTCTTTTCTGGTTCTATTGAAAAAATGTCCTTATATGTATGACCTTTGCTATTGATACGACGTTAAACAAAATAAAACCGATCTATTCAAAAAATATTCCAGATACTTCCAAAATGTGTACGAGTTTCTTATCGTGTTAGGGAAGCTTTCAAAGATAAAAACCAATATGATAGCTTCCTGTTATACATAAACATTGAAGGATCAGAAAGTGTCATTAGAATGACAGATCAGAATAAAAGATGAAATAAGCAGCAGTCCAAACCTAGGATATTTATCAACATTCTAGTGGATAGGACACACCATGAGGCTATGTCCTCGGGGTAAAACAGTAGTATGATCCTACCGATATAACTGTAGCAGGATTGTACAAAGCTCGTACAGACCTTGAGTAGAAAGGTAAATCGAAGAAAACGCCCTAAAAGCCCCAAAATTTAACAAAAAATTCTAGAAAAGGTCTGAGTCTTGAATTCGACTAAATTATCATAAAGTTATAATTGTATAGTTATTTTGGTGGTTTTGTTGTGTTATTCTCATGAAAATGAATTCTGAAAATACATGAAAATTAAACATTTGTTGAGTTAATTTCTAGATTTTTGGACTACTGACTAGTGTAAGATTTTAGGGTTATTTGGTTTTGGAGACATCCAGGTAACACATCCAGATCTCTTTTGAGGACTTGGAAATAGCTGTTTATTTTACTGATAAGGGTCCTTAAATAGCCTTAAACAAACATTGAACTTCAAAGTATAATTCCTGTACAAACTCAGGTGTACTACCCCCACATAACAATGTTTATTCAGCAAACATACGTTGTCTTACCAATCTTAAAAACACATTGAGGTGTAGGGATGCAAGTGGTTATTTAAGTCATTTCATCCCTTAAATTTGTATGATAAGAAATACTTCTTTAAAAAAAATGTTCCAAATTTTAGTAAAGTTTAATAACTCCGCTGTATTCAGTCCTCATGAAAAAGATCGTAAAATTTACGATTTATTTCATGAGGACTGAATACAGCGGAGTTATTTTTCTGGAACACAAGAAATTGTCTCCCTGGTTTTATTTCTCTTCTTTCTTTGAATATAGCACAGTTAACATTGATCAAACACATCAGCGGAAATCATCCTCGAGACTCCAGGGGTTACGCTCACTCATGCTCTCTGCACCCCTGGAATATGTCATAGCAAAATTGAAGGCTCAGTGTGCACCACCTTGTGGACAAGACGAGAAGACTAGTTGATCCTTTGATGTACATCAAAAAAATCTGTTTGTTGTGTAACTGTGAAGACAGGTGTCGCTCCTGTCTTATCTTCAAAGGTCAGGTAACAGCTTAGCAATTGGTCAGTCCTTTTTACCCGAGACCAATCAAATAGCTGGCCGTGTGCCTTCCATTTTGCAATGACATATTCCATGGGTGCAGAGAGTAAAAGTGAGTGTTTCCCCTGGAGAATCGAGGATGGGTGGAAATATTAGTTTTATGTAGTATTAATACTGTATATTATATGTATTGTTTTGTTTTTTTGTTGTAGAAACAAGTCTGATTGGTTAGACAAACAGCTGAATGGATTCATTGAAGAGTTTCTGGTGAAACCAGACGCGTGATAGGACTGTTAAGTGGTTTACCTAAGTCAGACCAGTATCGGCTGCACTAGGACAGAGACTGTGGTCAGTTTGTGGCATCCTATGAATGATACTATCAAAATGTTGGTGATCATTACTGTTTAACAGAAACCTTTCACATACATTAACCATTGGAGGAAGATGATATCAACACTCAGCAGTTCTGTGTGTTGCGCATACTCAACTTCACCGTTATACCAGGGCTGTACCATTTCATATTAGCATTCAGTTCGATTTTGAAAACAATCTACAAGCCCAGCGTAATTTTGCCAGGTGTTGAGCTTGTAAAATCGTATACCTAAGTCTACCAAAGAGAGGAAAGGACTCTTGGAAAAGATTTTATCTGACATGTGTTGAAAACTTGAATATACTGTAAGCATCAAATATGAAATAGACTTTATTTATTGAAATGCTATTATATCCTCTATGTACATGTTGGCTATGATTATTGAAATAGACTATATCTGACCTTCAACCTTTCTGTGTACACCAATGAATTCTGTTGTGTAATATGATAAATTCACCAGTCTCAGCCATCTCTCATCACCCATCATGGATAGTCTGTTCATTTTTCATTTCAAGGAAGTGTTTGTTGACATGACACATTTAATTTTACAACTGAATCTGCAAAATGTAACCAGTTTCTGTGAAGTAATTCTTAACCGCCATATATCAGTTGTAGAATTATTCATCAGATCAGATACAAATGTGACGCATTGAGTGAAGTTACACATCAGTAACTCTAGAGTGGAAGTACGCATCAGTATCACTAGAGAGGAAGTACGCATCAGTAACTCTAGAGAGGAAGTACGCATCGGTAACTCTAGAGAGGAAGTACCCATCAGTAACTCTAGAGAGGAATTACGCATCAGTAACTCTAGACAGGAAGTACGCATCAGTAACTCCAGAGAGGAAGTACGCATCAGTAGATCTAGAGAGGAAGTACGCATCGGTAACTCTAGAGAGGAAGTACACATCAGTAAATCTAGAGAGGAAGTACGCATCAATAACTCTAGAGAGGAAGTACGCTTCAGTAACTCTAGAGAGGAAGAACGCATCAGTAACTCTAGAGAAGAGGTACACATCAGTAACTCTAAAGAGGAAGTACACATCAGTAACTCTAAAGAGGAAGTACGCATCAGTAACTCTAGACAGGAAGTACGCATCAGTAACTCCAGGGAGGAAGTACGCATCAGTAACTCTAAAGAGGAAGTACGCATCAGTAACACTAGAGAGGAATTACGCATCAGTAACTCTAGAGAGGAAGTACGCATCAGTAACACTAGAGAGGAAGTACACATCAGTAACTCTAGAGAAGAAGTACACATCAGTAACTCTAAAGAGGAAGTACACATCAGTAACTCTAGAGAGGAAGTACGCATCAGTAACTCTAGAGAGGAAGTACGCATCAGTAACTCTAGAGAGGAAGTACGCATCAGTAACTCTAGAGAGGAAGTACGCATCAGTACCTGGTGTGTGCGATGTGAAACAAGAGTGTTGTAAATTGTGGTGTTAATACTTCATTATCAAGATTTTACCAGGTCCCAACATGTTGGTTTTTCATCTTTGAGAACAGAATGTTTTTATTTAATTCATAATCATCATATCGCCCTGTATACAGAATTTTTTGAAAAACCCAGCATAAAACTACGTTGTATTAAAGTAGATTTCAAATCAACGATCCTTCTTTAACAACTTTTTTGTTCCTAATGTCTGTGTTTTTTGTTCTATAAAGATGGAATGTTGCTTGCGGTTATATCTATCATTGATCAATCTGATATTATACAAAAACAAATGAACATAATTTGATTAGATTGATTCTAAATTTGGTTTAATTCCTTATTGTATTTACATATCAAAGTAAAACATTCTTTTCTCAAAGTAAAAGCAGTTCATCGCTGTTGGCAGGGTCAGACACAAATGTTTTTTGCTTGATAGTCCACAGGACTAGATGAATAGATCATTTACTAGTCCTTTGTCATTGTAACTAGTCCAATATTTCCTGATAAAGAAACCTCGCGATCTACAGCACGAAACATCAAAAGTAATCGACTGTAGGGGACTTAAAACAATTACTGCCATAAAAGTATGGCGATGTTTTGGGAAAAATTTGACAATTATTGTGCAATATATCTTATTTTAAGCAGTTTTCTAAATTTTAAAAAGGAATATTCTAATATATAATCGAATTTTTCACAAGTTTAAAGGACCAGTTAGGTTAGGTGATTCACTGCTCCTTGCTGAAATCTTCTAGTCCAGGCCTAGCTGACTAGTGTTAGTGTCGACCCCTGTAGTCCAGGCCTAGCGGACTAGTGTTAGTGTCGACCCCTGTAGTCCAGGACTAGCGGACTAGTGTTAGTATCGAACCTTGGTTGGGGTCAACACTGTCATCAGTTGTATATTGTGATATATGAATGCGGGCGGTATCACTGATGTTATTATCTGTGTAGTTAATGCTGGGAGTCTGGAAATGTATCCCCACTGTTAAACTGTATTGTATATTGTCAGTAGATCTAACATAGGTGTGTAAACCTTGAATGTCTGTGATTCTCTCGCTATCAAGTGAATGTGTCAGATTTAGTCACTGTAACAGATTTTATTTTATTTTTTCGTGTTGTTTAATAATGTGTACCCGCTACTTTTATAAATGAATTAGACATTTTTTAAGGAGGCCATTTTTGTTTTAAATAATGCAAACGAGACCCAGCATCCGTGTTTCGATAGTACTAAAGTTTGGTAGCTTTCCATGGATGGATTCCTAATGGATTAATTAGCAGGCCATCAGATGACTGGACAATAATGTTGTCCAGTGGTCTTTACTTTGAATTCTGTTTTAAATAGTATATGCAGATAAAATATTGACTTTAAGTAGATAACAACTCTGAGGGGAACCCTTTTTGTAAATCTTGTCATTGATGATTGTTCCAACACTGTGAAGGGCAATTGTAATATATATAGTGCTGCTGTTTACACACAAAAACTATACTTGTAATAGTGCTGATCTAAACAGGGTGTGTTGAGATTTGTTCCCTGTATTAGTGTCATAAACTCGTATGTTTCTTTAGCTTTAATCTGTATAAAACATTAATGTTAATGCCAGTATTAAATAGAGAGGTTTTTAGGTCACCTGAGCTTTAGCTTTAGCTTAAAGTCAAGTTCTGCTGGACCGATTGAACTGAAAGTTGGTAGGAATGATCGCCTCATGGTCCTGACAAAGTGTTGTTATTTTTCGGGTCGATCAGAAATCCATTATGGCCGCCACGGCCGCCATTTTGAAAAAACTATTTCAAACTTAAAGTCAAGTTCTGCTGGGCCGATTGAACTGAAAGTTGGTAGGAATGATCAGCTCATGGTCCTGACAAAGTGTTGTTATTTTTCAGGTCAATCAGAAATCCATTATGGCCGCCACGGCCGCCATTTTGAAAAACTATTTCAAACTTAAAGTCAAGTTCTGCTAGGCCGATTGAACTGAAACTTTGTAGGAATGATTGACTCATGGTCCTGACAAAGTGTTGTTATTTTTCGGGTCGATCAGAAATCCAATATGGCCACCACGGCTGCCATTTTGAAAAACTATTTCAAACTTAAAGTAAAGATCTACTTGGCCGATTGAACTGAAACTTTGTAGGAATGATCGAATCATGGTCCTGACAAAGTGTTGTTATTTTTCGGGTCAATCAGAAATACAATTTGGCTGCCATGGCCGCTATTTTGCTACTAAGTTCTAATAGGCCGATCTCACTTAAAATTGGTCTAGGAATGATCAGCTCATGGTCCTGACAAAGTTAAGTTAACATTATACTATTTTTTACTCAAATTGGTACATATTTCAACAACAAAAATAAATACTGTAGACTCAGGTGACCGTTAAGGCCCATGGGCCTCTTGTTAATTATAGCACATTAATGACGTTGACATTTCAGGTAACTATCTTAATGTGACGTTTTATTTATAGGTACAAACATCTTGATGTCATGCTGTAATATATGTGACAGTGTACATGTACCGAGCCATAAACACAATACTCCAAAATAAGATCGAACATTAAGCTGTGGTTGACAATCAATTTACTTGTGCAGGTCTTATTCCAAATATTAACAAAACACCACTACCATTCACATAATTGTGAAAATTCTCAAGTGTAATATAGATCAAATACATTTACCTTGAGATTAGAAAATTAGCTGGCCTAGAAAATCAGAAATTAAATATGTGTTTATAGATAATGATAGCCACACCTTATTGCTAGATCTTAGAGTTCTGCCAACACTAAACAGTATACAAATAATTGGTGTGCTGGGGGAAACAATATCCTATGTCCACGATTTTGAGCAAATAATATGTTTTAGGCCTAGTTCAAAAGGAAGATAACTATTTAAAATTAAAATTCCTTGTCTGTTTCACGTGTGCCTCATTTTGCCGGTGTCTTTTTATTGTAATACATGTAGTCATTATAATTTTATTTAAAACTTTGTAAAATGGAAATTGAAAGTATTAAATACAAACTCATTTATCTTCTTTGTTTTGTGTTATGTTGGTCCGTGGCATGCTGAAACAAGGGCATGGTAGTGGATTTTTATTTTTGATCCACTTTCACAGCAAATGTGTGAAAACATGTACTGTAGTCATCAGCTTTGCTTAAATGTATTTGAATTTCACTTAGCTTGAAGGTAACATGTGAGAGACGTTTTGCCATCAGCAATGAATAACAGTTGAGTGGTACATGCCAATTGTGCCTTTTATTTTAAACATAACTCCAGGTCTGTTTTCCTGATCTGTTGGCGGACAAGACTTCTGTAACTGTAATCCTTTTGAATTTTTCAGTCCTTGTTTAGACTGGAGTAAATAAAAATACTCTGAGTTTCATCTAGGACATCAGAGATCTCTCTGAAGTTATGGTTCCGCAGACTGTTGATTTAAAAAATTACATGTGACTAGGGTGACTTTTTGCCAAGCCTGGTGTTATATTTGGGTGTTTCGGTTTCCTTCTTCAGAAGAAATATCTAAAGAGCCATAACATCTTTCTTGGAAGGAACCTTCCCCATGTTTCTAACATTGTACACAGGCAATTCATTATCAGGTATTCTTATGAAAACGTAACCCTTTTTCTCTAACTTGTGATGAGTTTGTATTTTCTCGATAACCAACACCTTATCACCGATTTCTAGCTTTTAATCTTGGACATGTAGCAAATTGACATCTTCTCCTTTCCCCCCAGAGTCTGGTGACCTGTCGGATGATTTGCATCCCTCTCCTAGTTTAGTGCACTATTATCCCCAGAAAAAAAAAATCTGACACAGTTGGGTGTCATTAAACAGATATTGGAGAGGGAAAAACCTAGCGAACCACTTTTAACTTTACAGACCTCGACGAGTGGTGCGAAATATGACATCACGTTTTCATACCCTCCAGGATAGACAACACTTTGAGGAGTGTCTGGTTGGTTGGTTATCAGGGTTAAACGCCCCATCATCAGCTAAGGTCATTTAGGACGTGGAGCATCTGGTTGAATCACCCGACAGAACCATTACTTATAGTTGATGTGTGATGTTCCTTGATCATCCACTAACACCAGTTGGCGCAGTCCCTTAATAACTGTTTTCAAAACAATGGCACTGATGGCTATTTTTATAGGGACGAAGGTTCCGACTGCCTTACTTGAAATTTCAAATTGCAACAATAACATAATTAAACATAGACGTTCAAAACGTGTAACACGCGGGATATACCCAAGACATTACGTTACTAATGCCAGTTTCGGACATGACATATCCAAGGTAAATGATATGGTTTGTCATCTCTTGAAACTTAATATTATCTCATATGAGAATCAAATGAGTTATGTCACTGACAACAGTCCCATAAATCCGACTTAAGTGCAATTTCGTATTAAAAAGCGATGAAACTGGCAAACTGAACAATGGAAAAGTTGACAAAGTATCAGGAAAGTGAGACCAGGTGTCTCGGCAGGGTTAGCGTTACTGCTTTACCAGCGATGACAATGCCATATACTCTAGATCAAATCGAAGTAATGTTACGTTCTCACTGAACTTCTCCTTTACTAAAGAAATGACGTGTAGGTTGAAAATGACACATCAATTTTTCACAGTGAAATGGAAAGTTTTACGTTTGTTCTGTTCCTCCAAGGTTAAGGCATCAATCCTTACACCCTCTGATTCAGATACAGATCTGATTCAGATATAGAATCGATGAAAATATTTGCACGGGTATAAAATACCTCCTACGCTATCTGAAAGCGGTATAGAACTAGTAGAAAATGTCAATAACGCAGTCCACAATCCTTATAGTGTTGCTGTTGTATGTGTTGAATAACACCGAACACATTGAGGAAGTGCAGCTGTGTTTGATTCAAAATGAGAGTCATGGTTGTCAGTAGACTCATGTTTGGAATGGTTTACCAGAAAGGGTACTCTTTATGAACACAAATCCCCAGTTGTCCTCTCTCACAGTGCAGTTTTTGGCCTTTCAACTTGGCTGAAGTTTCTCCATGTGCATTGATCCGGAATTTTTATAACTCTATTTTTAATATCTGATTTGGTGCAAGTCAGTAACTATATCTCCTTTGGAAGGTTTTTTTCGGAATATTGGCTCTTTACATCGACTGACTACTCTTTAATAGGAGCTTCCATCTTCCTATTTCTGGTGATTGTTTTACATCACAAGGCGGTTGACACCGCCGGTGAACTTTCCGTCCCTTAAGTTTGTCGTAACCGTGTAGCTTGACTTCATTCTTGCACGGTTTAAACGAACTACTAGTTTAAATATAGAATATCTATTGTATCCACGGTTGTAACTTTATTAATAGGCACCTTTTACAGTATCATATATTTCTACATAGGTTTCGGAACTCTCTAGGGGCCGATTTTAATTCCTCCGACGTTTTGTTTCACTGCCAAGTCCTTAAATGATGAAATGGACATATAACACAGTACACATCTTTATTGCGTTGGTTCTCTTCATTGACATACTATTTTGTTAACAGACGCTTCCTTATACGTTTTTCTGGTTATGTCTGACTTTCCTGTTGCCATATAGTGAGGGGACGTATGTGGACGCGGTCAAGGCGTATCGCACATCCGTAACTGTTTAAGTCATTGTATTATTTTGAGTGGCCTTTTGTGTTTGTAGGTCCACCATGTGATCATTGCCTGCCTGACGTGCTTGTGTTGCATTGGGCTATCCACTTTTTTTTTTTTAACCATTGGTAGGGATGACAAAGGCAGTATGTACAGGTGTCCCATACAAATGTGATGAAGATATATGTGAGGAAGCAGATAGATGGTACCCGCGTTCCTGATATGCGGTTAGGAGGTTTTATGGCGTTACAGCTGTGAAGTCAAATTTGTCGCTGTTGTTCCGTGGAGAATGCAAATACCATAGCAGAATTGATAGTTGCAATATCCTCATATATCTGGATTTTGGCATTTATGGTGTGATTTGTCCATGCTTGACATGTTGTCGTGATTTTTTTGGCATTTAATGTTGTCAGGCTTTCTATAGTCCACTTTGTGGCGACTGTTTGGTAATCGCTCTTCCTGATAGGAGGTTGTTACATCCTACACATAGGGTTATCTTCATATCCTCTCTTTGAATGCTTTCCTAGATGTGTCTGCCTCCTGTAGAAAGTTCTTTTGTATACTTTCGTTTTGTTTTCGATTTGTTATCTGGTCAGTGTCCTGTGTCCTGGTCTACAAATTGTTCAACCACATTGTCCATGCCATCATTCTCCAAAAAGGCCTCATGTGTCCTAAATGTAGGATTGTTACGTCCATGGGGTGTTCATCGCGCCTACAATCATCCTCATCTCGAGGAGATATGGTAGACTGGGGATGTATGCACAAAGGTTAATGGAGAGTGTGAGGTGTCTGCAGAAGAGTCAGTCATTCATATGAAGGGTAAGTTTTATAGACATCTGTAAGGGTCTTGTCGATGGTTCCACATTGAAAGTGGTACCACTGCTAATATATATATCACTTGATTCGGTGTGTCTTTTAATTACGACTCATTCTATGATGCTAGCCATAATTGTAATCTTATTACGCTTTGGAAGGGTTTAGCTCAAATAGTTTTTTTTTATTTTTTCGTCAGGATGGTGTTACATTTTGTCTGATGTATTTCCATTACTCTCCTCATCCAATAGCTTTAAAAATTCTGAGCAACTTGTGCTTCAATCTCTCTCTTCTTTGTTCTACGTTGTTGTCTTTTGGAATGGTGTAAATACAAGGAAATTCAAAGGTTTTTTACGCTTATAATCATTCCTTGCACGTTCACAGGAGCTAGTTCGGTCAACTGCCTATCCCAATTTTGGATTTCCAGATATATTGAGATCCAAAGATTAAAAACAAAATCCAATATGTTTTTTTTTTTTTTTTTAATATTCCAGTGTTTATACGCTAAACATAAATATATGTAAATAAATAAGTAATTATCACCCATTTATCGTCTTTCTCCAATACATTTCGGGGATCACCATTTAGGATATATAAAATAACGTGTGTCGAATCAGGGTCGAAATAATCATCTAAACTCCAATGAAATGCATAATATCAAATGAAATGGTTAATCAAACATAACATGTAAAATACATCGCTGACAATATTAAAAAGTATACACACTATATAGCTTTGTATACCACCGCACGTGTCTCACCATCAGCCGATATATATGTTACAGATCTAAGCTATGGAACAGACTAAGGATATTTAAATCACCAACATTGAAACCCGAGAGACAGCTAGGAGATGTTATCCACAAATAATAACAACAGGACACGTTAAACATTGGAAATATTATTTTAATCTATTAGCCATTATATCCAGATAGAATACTACGCATTTTCAATATGGCTTAAAAAATAATTTTCAAGACAAATTTGCTTTTGTTGCCTTTTTAGATATTGAGAATACTTTTAGCTGATCGAAATATCAATTTTGTTGTGTGACTACTTGATTAAATTATGGTATCTTATTTGATTTTCTTACGTAAGCAGTGGTGGTTTTTTTTTATCATAAACGCACATACTGACAAAAGGTTGATTTTGGTAAATTTGGTAAATTTATGCTGTTGGAATTAGACTGTAGATTACCTGGATTAAATAATCAATATAGGTAAGAATACAGTTCAGCAATTAGTTGTTAATCCGTTCTGCTTTCAAATAAAAGGATGGATAAAGTATTAAATGTTCATAAAATAATGTTGCCAATATTTTGTTCTATGATCGAGCAAAACCGAAAAGAGACTTTTCTCTACCGAAGGATTTTGGCCCAATATGGCTGCATGGCTAAATACAGATAAGCCCACAACATTTGATCAGTTCAAAGTCTAATGTATAGGAACTGGTTAAAGTTCGTCGGATGAGCTAAGAACTAATTTATCATGTGTTAAAGTAAACATGATATACAAGTGATATACGGTATACATATAGGAGGTCACCGCATACCTTATTTATCTTTAAAATAAACCATTTTATTTGTCTGCATTGCCGCCGTCACGGAAGTGGTACATGTAAGTATAAACATACAATTTTTTGGTTGTCGTAAACTTCTTTTAACCACATGAAGTTTTACTCACTTAATAACACAACAACTGATATTAAATAAAGCGTTCGTAACAGCTAATTAATTACGAACTATACCTTATTGAATTTTCAGTCATAGTTATGATAATTAGTATGTTACGATTTATAAAGCGAAAGAGGAAGTATAAACATAAGGTGTTTCCCCATTTTCGAGGGGTGGACACTTCAGTGTTCTCGCTAATTGGTAAGGATTACATTGATCTACTTTTTGTAAACATGCACTTTTGGGCAAAAACAATTCATTACCTTTTCTATGATTACTAACTGCAGCCCGTCATTATGTTATAGTTCTTTATTCAAGTTAAGGGTTAAAGGTCACATGTATCGTTGTACACGTAAGCAATATTAATTTATTAGCGTTTTGTAATGCGCAGAAGTGGGTTTAGGGTAGCTACGGTAGCCGTTGCTTCAAGGTCCGTTCTATTTAATAATTTGAAAAATCTATATATCGGACTAAATACAAAATCTTAATAATACAAGCGACCGGGAATTGGAGGTACGGTTTCCACTGCTAGAGTAAGGGGACATTTGACACGGCCCCGCCTCTTTGGTGTTTTTATATCTGAATTATGAACTGTGATTTTGTCAACCACAATATTCCTGTACAGACATGTGATGTTATGTACAGCGATATACCTGTAGATATATAGCATTACATTGACGTGTGACATTTCATACAAGTATGTCAATATGTAGAATAATATGCATTCAGACCTAGGGCATGATTACAAATGTCAAGATACATAATGCATATGCATACATTATGTAGGATTGTGTGTAATGTTGCATTATGTAAGATTATGTAGGACTGTGTGTAATGTTACATTATGTATTTTTGTGTGTAATGTTGCATTATGTAGGATTGTGTGTAATGTTGCATTATGTTAGATTCTGTGTAATGTTGCATTATGTAATATTATGTGTAATGTTACACTAAGATAGATTCTGTGTAATGTTACATTATGTATGATTGTGTGTAATGTTACATTATGTAGGATTGTGTGTAATGATTGTGTGTAATGTTACATTATGTAGAATTGTGTGTAATATTACATTATGTAGGATTGTGTGTAATGTTACATTATGTATGATTGTGTGTAATGTTGCATTATGTAGGATTGTGTGTAATGTTACACTAAGATAGATTCTGTGTAATGTTACATTATGTATGATTGTGTGTAATGTTACATTATGTAGGATTGTGTGTAATGTTTCATTATGTAGGATTGTGTTTAATGTTACAGTATGTAGGATTGTGTGTAATGTTACATTATGTAGGATTGTGTGTAATGTTACATTATGTATGATTGTGTGTAATGTTGCATTAAGTTAGATTCTGTGTAATGTTACATTATGTATGATTGTGTGTAATGTTACAGTATGTAGGATTGTGTGTAATGTTACATTATGTAGGATTGTGTGTAATGTTGCATTATGTATGATTGTGTGTAATGTTGCATTAAGTTAGATTCTGTGTAATGTTACATTATGTATGATTGTGTGTAATGTTACAGTATGTAGGATTGTGTGTAATGTTACATTATGTAGGATTATGTGTTATATTGCCTCATTTAGGATTGTGTGTAACGTTGCATTATGTAGGATTATGTGTAATGTTATTTTATGTAGGATTGTGTGTAATGTTACATTATGTAAGATTGTGTATAGTTTCATTATGTAAGATTGTGTGTAATGTTACATTATGTTAGATTGTGTGTAATGCTACAGTGTGAGTAAATTTGTGTGGTAAAATTATGTAAGATTATGTGTTATGTTTTAATGTTTAATTAAGTGAGATTGTGTGGAATGTTAAATTATGTTAATTGTGTGTTATATTGAATACAGCAAAAACAAAAAAAACAAAAAAATCTAACGATATCCCAGAAGTAAGTTAAATATAAAGTATGTTGTCAGTTTACATTGCATTAAATGATAGCTACATCAAAAACAAAAGATACATAATGTCCATCTGTCCTCGCCTTATCAAGCAATGTTTTGGTTTAGAGATTATCGGAGATCCCATCAAGCTGATAGTAGTATACAGTTCTTCCTTCAACACTTATTACCTGTTTTGGAAATAGTTCCTTTACAAGTGTATCCTGTAAATGGGTAGGTGTACTATTGTTATTGTATTCATGCTTGTTTTGCAGGTAGGCATGGCAGAAAGGCCACCACTCCATAAACACTCAGGTGCATGGGACTGTGGACTAGATATGTCAACGATATGTTTTATAATACTGTCCTGTATTTTTGTACTGTCTGTACTGTGTGTCATAGCCTACAGCTGGTATAGTCCTACAGAACAACCTATAACAGTACAGAGCAATGTCAATGTAAGTAGCGATTCCTTCTACCGCAGCTAAAATTACAACGATGAACAAGGTAGTATAGTTCTTATGTGAAAATATGTTGTAATTTCTGATGTGAAAAAATAATATAAATTCTTATGATAAAATAAAGAGTAACTTCTTATGAAAAAATATACTGTACTTATGTGAAAATATAGTGTAATTTCTTATGTTAAAATATATTGTTACTTCTTTTGTAAAAAGATAGTGTAATTTCTTATGTGAAAATAAAGTGCAACTTCTGATGTGAAAATAAAGTGTTATTTTTCGTATGTGAAAATATGGTGTAATTTCTTGTGTGAAAAAAATAATGTAATTTTTAATATGAAAATATGGTGTAATTTCTTTTGTGAATATATAGTGTAACGTCTTATGTGATAATTATAGTGTTATTTCTTATGTGTAAATTAAGTGTAACTTGTGTGAAAATAAAGTGTAATTTCTTATGTGAAAATATGGTGTAATTTCTTTTGTGAAATTTTAGTGTAATTTCTTGTGTGAAAATTTAGTGTAACTTCTCATGTGAAAATGTAGACAGAATAGACAGAAGTGTTGCAATTGGGACAGTAGATCAATTTCGATATCTTTTATTATCATTATTAAAGCATGCTTTAACTCACCTGTTTCTCGTCCGGGTTGTTTTTGAGTGTAGAACGGTGTTATTTTAATTTCAGGTTCTCAACTCTAATGGCAAAAAACGGAAAAAGAAAAAGATGGGTGAGTTTGTTTAAAGAACCATCTCCAAGCTTCCCAAAACACATCATAGTGAACTTCTAAGTAGAGGAATGTGATACATTTGAGCAACACTTTATTACAGTGTTATCACATTGAGAATGCATATGTGTCCTTATGAAGTTAAATTAAATTAAAATGTTCACATGTATAAGTGAAGTAAAGATGTTTCTAAACAAGTGTAATAATATCATGTTTGGAAAACTCGCCTGAATAAAGGTAGAAAATGACCTTGAAGGGACGAATGAAAGAATCAGTCGAAGAAAGCCATTATTAATTCTATACAGTATAACGTGTTTTGAAAGAGAGCCCCCGTTCTATAAGGGAACATATACTATTAAGGGTATTGAACACAGGGCCCAAACCCTGACAATACCTTTTATTCATTACGAACGGACACATACTGTTAGGCTATTGAACAAGTGTCCGGCCACTGGCAATGCCTTATATTCATTACGAGGGCACTTGGTTTGGTTTAGTATTGTTTAACGTCCTATCAACAGCTATGGTCATTTGAGGACGGCCTCCACTGTGTGCAAGATGCATGCGTGTAGTGTAGGCGTGCGTTTTGGGAGGCTGCGATATGTTTGTTTTTGTCTCCTTGTGATAGCGCGGAACTGATGCCGACTTTATAGTGCTACCTCACTGAAACATACTGCCGAAGACACCCAACAGGACATCTCACTCGGTCATATTATACTGACAACGGGCGAACCAGTCGTCCCACTCCTAAATTGCTGAGCGTTAAGCAGGAGTAGAAACTACCATTTTACAGACTCTGGTATGTCTCGGCCAGGGGACAGAACTAAAGCCTTCCTCACAGGGGCGAACGCTCAGTTTAATGAAAAAAGTTAAGCATTGTAAAGGGAGACATTAGGAAGAAGAAAGTTGTTAAGAAAGAAGAGAAAAGATAAGATCCCAAATTTAGTCGCCTCTTACGATTATGCAATGGGGGCAGCAGGTACAGTTCTTACGCCCTACCTGCAGGGACTACGAGGGGACACATATTTTAAAATAAAATAATTATTTTCCATAACGGGAAAACAACATATAGTTTAATACCATAACTCAGAAGATGAGTTAGAATGATAATTACATTTTTTTTTTATTATTAACTGTCAAATAATATGCTAATATAATAAGTTGCTATTTTGATTTACATTTTTATACACGTGTAATTAGAAGGAACATCGCTCTAATGTTTAAAAATAACTTAACTTATGCTTCAAAAATATTAACTCTTTTCCCTCTTCAGTTGACGGGAAAATAGCAATGTTGTCTTTTCAACTGTCAAATATATGCTAAAATAATTAGTTGATATTTTTATTAACATTATTCATGCACGTGTTATTGCAAGGCACATCGCTCTGATTTATAAAAATAACTAAATTTGCTTTAAAAAGATATCAACCCTTTTCCCTCTTTACGAGAAAATAGCAACTTATTTCATGTATTTGATTCAGTGTCCGTCTGTCTGTAAGTTTTTAAATACCCTAATCGAAAACACGTAGTTGAAGTCCTGGGTCACCAAAAACGTTTATTGATATATATATGTGCGACAAACGAAAAGATTGTCAGATTGACGGCCACTTGATATGGTATTATTTCAATGTTAAGGCCACACCAAATCGATAAGTAATTCTTCGGGAAATGGAATTTTATTTTCTACCGCGAGCGAGAAGTCAGATTTCTTTATTTAATTTTTAACCATATAGCTATATAATATAACAGGCTTTTCTATTCTTATTTGTTTATTTACATTAAAAAGTCTGCTAAAACTCTACTTTATGGCTATTTATATTAGAGTTAGTTTCCTGTACAGGAACAATAAGCTCATAGTCAACAGTCTCTACTGTAACCAATAAAGTTTGAAGGTTAACTTTCTGTAACGGATGGCCTATAATTGATCAACTACATTTTACCATGTTATGTCTAGTTGGTTTTAAAAGTTTTTATGTTAAGGAACTTGAAAAAGAAAATCTCAAGGAGGTTGTTCCATAATTTAAGGTTTCCAGGTTTCCAGGTATTCTAAGCATATTTTGGCAATTCTTGAAATGTAGTATGAAAATGTTGAATTTCGTTGTAATGTTCGATGTTGTAAAGTTATAAGTGTTCAAATGGTTTCTGTTAATTTTTATTTTTAGCTAAAGTGATAGTTAACTGTGAACATGCCATGATTGGAGACACAAACATCCTTCAACAAGGTAAAAGTTTTACGTAACACAATTTGTTTTCAGAAGTTTAGAAAAATCAACAAAATTCTTCTATCGATCATGACTAGTGTATTTTTCTGTATATATAAATAAATATAGTGCAACAATGTTTTGTATTTTTCCATGTAAAAAAGTGTAATTTCTAATGTAGCAACGTAGTGTATTTTTTTCACGTAAATTTATAGCGTAATTTCTAAGTTAAGAATGAAGAATATTCTCTATGTAAAAAATGTAATGGAATTTCTAATGTGACAACATATTTTCCATGTAAATCGTACTGTAATTGCTTAGTAAAAATGTGGCGTTTTTCCCCCCAGGCCGATGTAATTGCGTGGCTGTTACAAACAATCTGGTCTATAATGAATTGTCCAGGTATTATCCGTTTCTATATAACCGTTAGTGTGTGACATTTGATTGATATGACTATATATATGCATTTCGATGTTTCATTTTAATAGGATGTATATCTCCCATCCTAGACGACAGCAGGAATAGAGAGCCAACTGGTAAGTGTAAACCTAGTTTGATATACAATCATTCAACGAATCAAACCAAAATTGTGCCTCCCAATGTATGACAACGTGAATTATCTATAGAGTCATATGTTTCAGTGCGATTGAGTTTCTACATAACATAATGACCTACGAAGATGATCTTACAAAAAAATGAAAATCATTACAAAAAAGCTAAAGCTTGCTTTAAAAAACAAGAGAATACCGAATTGTCTACAAAAACGTAATTCGAACACAAAATCCATAAAACTATGACAAAATATGGACAATGAAAAATGTACATGGAAAACAAGAGAATAGAGATCTATAAACTCATTGTGAGTTTAAACAGTCACAAAGCACGCCATACCACAAGACCATTTTGTAAACAATGTCCTCATATAAAGAGCAAAGGGTCACAATGTAGATATAATGGTTAGCAACAGTGATATTTCATTGATATTGTTTCCCATGTCACATGTCTGAAAACGAAATAAATACTCTGAATTCTAGACAACATTAAATATTTTTCGTTCCAGGATTCATGAAAAAAACAGTTTCTGTGTGGAAAAAGCGGGCAGATGATTTGTTTGTGACGAAGGGAATGCGAAATGCTATGGAGTTTTCTAAGCACAACAACTTACTGATCATTACTGGTCCCCAGGGTAGTGGGAAATCCTCTGCTTTACGATATGTTTCGGTAGCTTTAAAGCATGACGGTTTTATTGTTTACCCCTGCATGAAACCTTCAGATATAGAGTATTATTGGGACGAAACCAAGAAGCAGGTGTTTGTTATAGATGATCCCATAGGTAGTGAATGTGTCAGTCTAGTTGGTGTGCAAATGATGGAAAGATATAGTGATCGTATCAAAACCTGCATTGCAGGTCATACTACAAAAGTTATTCTTGCGATTCGATCAGAAATCTTGAATGATAAGTATGTATCTAGCAGCGAAACCTTAGTGACTTCGCGACAGAATGAAATAGATTTGACTGAGGAGGAAAATGCTCTTTCAGAACAAGAAAGGAAAGACATGTTTTCGCATTATGTATCTCGAACTGGTGTTCGTAATATTTCCCTGCAAATGCCTCAACTACATTGTTTTCCATTACTTTGCCATGCTTTTTTTAAAGTAGGAACAATACGTAAAAACCCGACAGAATTCTTTTCTTCGCCGTTTAGCGTAATAAAAGACGCGTTTATCAGAATGCGACAGAGGAATCCTGCCCATTTCTGTCTCCTGGTTTTTTGTATTGTTTTTGAAAATAAATTATCCAGAAGGAACCTCGCGCTTGAATCACCAGAGAGAGAGAAAGTTGACAGAGTGTTGGAAATTCTAGGGCTAAACCGTGAGAAAGTCCAGAGCAACGTTATTAACGCCATAGACGCTTTGAACGGTGTTTATCTGACCAAAAATGGGACATCGTATGCATTCTTGCACTCTTTATTCCAAGACATAGTTACTTTCATCTTAGGCGAAGAATCCACGATGTTTCTATTTAAGTATTGTTCCAGTACTTTCCTTAGAAGCCATGTCAAGATAGCCGACACCCCAGCTAAAATTGACGAACACGCTATCGTATTGGAACCTTCTGATTATAAGTCTCTAGCAGAACGGATGTGCGAGGAGCTGCAAAAGCGTAATGTAGAGGATGTGTTCTATCATTCCTCGCTTGGGAACCGACAATTTCTCAAAGTTTTCATGAGAGAATGTTCCAAAAATAAGACTATAGAATATTCAAATGAAAACAAGATTCCTCTGTTAGCATGGAGTTGCCGCGTGGAAATGTTCAGACTAGCAAAGGCTCTTTTAGACAAAGGGGCTGATCTTAACATTTGCGACGAATTTAAAAGATCAGCGTTGATTTGGGTATGCCGAAATAGCTGTCGGTCTATAGAGCAGAGTCGTGCAATGGTGACTATTTTATTGAAAGAGGGAGTGGATGTTAAATTGGCTGACAAACGGAATCAAACTGCAATCATATATGCAGTGCGCAAAGGCGATATACAGATTGTACACAACCTGCTGGACCACGGTGCTTGTGTAAAGGAACTATCAGCAGACATATCACCTCTTAACTTAGCTGTTAAGTGTGCCCAAAAGCACACACGTACACACGTTGAACCTGATACAGACCAGAAGGAACATTCCTCTACAGCAATAGTTAGGCTGCTTCTCGAAAAAGGTGCTGACCCAAACTTTAAGGTTGCTAACGACAAGACAATGCTCTACCAATCAGTGTTAGGCTCGAACACTGCTGTAAGCAAATGTCTTCTAGAGCACGGTGCGGATGTTGGTAAATCCAATACGTTGAACGAAGACCTGCTCTGCTCGGCAATCAGTAATCGTCTCTCGGATTTAGTAGATCCTCTCTTAGAAAGAGGTGTCGATGTAAACATTCCTAACCATTTTTCTAGAACCTCATTACACCTTGCAGTCATCGAAAACAATAGCGACCTTGTAACTCAGTTGATAAAAGCGGGTGCATGTGTCGATTCGAAGGACTCGGAAGGTGAAACACCTTTACACCTCTCCGTGAAGGATGACAAAAAATACATAGTACGAAACATATTGTTACGTAAAGGGGCTGACGTCAACTCGGAGGACAAACGCGGACGAACACCTCGAATGTGGTATCTCAGAACTCTGGCCCGAGTATCATCACAGAACTTTAGGATTACTGAACCATTACACAACGAGACAAACTAGTATCATCATAGAACTTTAGAACTACTGAACCATTACACAACGAGACACACTAGTATCATCACAGAACTTTAGGACTACTGAACCATTACACAGCGAGACACGCTAGTATCATCACAGAACTTTAGGACTACTGAACCATTACACAACGAAACACACTAGTATCATCACAGAACTTTGGGACTACTGAACCATTACACAACGAGACACTAGTATCATCACAGAACTTTAGGACTACTGAACCATTAAACAATGAGACACACTAGTATCATCACAGAACTTTAGGACTACTGAACCATTACACAACGAGACACACTAGTATCATCATAGAACTTTAGGACTACTGAACCATTACACAACGAGACATTAGTATCATCACAGAAATTTAGGACTACTAAACCATTACACAACGAGACACTAATATCATCACAGAACTTTAGGACTACTGAACCATTACACAACGAGACATTAGTATCATCACAGAAATTTAGGACTACTAAACCATTACACAACGAGACACTAGTATCATCATAGAACTTTAGGACTACTGAACCATTACACAACGAGACACTAGTATCATCATAGAACTTTAGGACTACTGAACCATTACACAACGAGACACACTAGTATCATCACAGAACTTTAGGACTACTGAACCATTACACAACGAAACACACTAGTATCATCACAGAACTTTGGGACTACTGAACCATTACACAACGAGACACTAGTATCATCACAGAACTTTAGGACTACTAAACCATTGCACAACGAGACACTAGTATCATCACAGAACTTTAGGACTGCTGAACCATTACACAACAAGACACACTAGTATCATCACAGAACTTTAGGACTACTGAACCATTACACAACGATTCACACTAGTATCATCACAGAACTTTAGGACTACTGAACCATTATACAACGAGACACACTAGTATCATCACAGAACTTTAGGACTACTGAACGATTATACAACGAGACACACTAGTATCACCACAGAACTTTAGGACTACTGAACCATTACACAACGAGACACACTAGTATCATCACAGAACTTTAGGACTACTGAACCATTACACAACGATACACACTAGTATCATCACAGAACTTTCGGACTACTGAACCATTACACAACGAGACACGCTAGTATTCAACTACACAGGACTTCTAAAGTTCGCTGTATTATTCATTTTGAGTGGAAAGCGGAAACAATTAAAACAATAGCATAACATATATGGCTATTTGAATTGTTTTCCTAAATCCAAATGTACATTTACCTAATTGTTAATTACTCCCATTGTGTGATATCGTATAAATGTCTTCATGGGATACATGTATATTGTTGTTGGTGTTTTTTTTTGAGGATTTTGTTTTCAATTTGAGCCACGTCTTTAATAAGGTTGTAGCAATATTGCAACATCAAATTTAGAACAAAGATTTCCATACGGTATGAAACCATTGCAATCAAATATATTTTTTTAGAAGTATAACAATATATATATATATTTATTGCAATAGTAAATTTCGTTATTTCTTTACTTCTTGAGTAAATATAACACGGTATCAAACAGAGTTATTAACTATTACAATACAAATAGCACTAAATGAATGAAAAACAGCTTCATTAGTTTTGCACGAAAGTTATTTATCAATAATGGGCTTTTACTGAGGTGAATATGTGATTATATGAACCCAGGAAAGTGACATTGACTGAGACAAAGTGCAGGTTCATATAATCACATACTCACCTCAACAAGTCCCTAATTGTTATATTAGATGCTTAATAGTGTTTAATCATTAATCCAATAGAACGTATGGAAAGTATCAGAAGGAAAGAACTGCACTTGGTAGAGAGCAATGTGACGTTACAATAGAAATGACGTCATAACATGAATACTACCCGGCAGTTTCTGAAAATAGTCCCTATCCCAATCACTGACTCCAGCATAATTATGAACCGACCAGTGATGATGAAGGGTAAGTGTGTGTCATCTAATATTTAAGTTTAGAAAGCAAGAGTTTTTATAAAAGAAAAGCTAGACATTCTTAAAACTCTTAACTTTAAAACAATTTAACAAATATTTTAACAAAACTAAATGTATGTATAGACGCTTGTTATGTATGAAGTTACGCTTTTGCAGTTGTATGTAGTCTGCACTATATGTAAATATTATATGCAAATTTGATGTATATAAAACAATTTATTCTGGCACTGTTATCATGAAACTTGATCTGTAGTTTTTCCATTTTTATTTAATTAGCAACGTTATACGGGTTTTTGTTGGCACCTTGTTTTCATGTAGAATGTTCACATACGTCCCGGAACACTTTAGACTTAGATTTGTTTATTAATTCGACCTTAAGAACAACTGTTGAGGCCATAAATGGTCGAAATAAGGTGAAGTAAATTTCACTTTCTTCGCTTTTGACATTGACAATCTAAAATTGTATTTAGGTGCTTCCTACTTTGTATTTCTAGAGATTATTGCCGTCTGTATTGTGTGACGATATAAGAATATTTGTTTTATATCAAGTGATATTGTCTTTATCTTAAGAAGATAACGAGGATCAGCAATGGTTTACCGATGGACATCAAATATATTTCACACCTATGTCAGATGTTTAAGATAGGTTAACGGTGCTTGCAATTTCGCGAAAACTTCAAATACAAAACTGCCATCATATCTTTGTTATCCAATGAGAAACCATTGAATGTTCTGTTTATTATATTTTGTGATTTTGAAGTATGGTTTACAAAAAAGTTGTTTATCGGGACCAAGTGCAAGGCTTGTTTGTGTATACATGTATTTATAAACTATACAAGTGCAAGGCTTATTTGTGTGTATACATGTATTTATAAACTATACAAGTGCAAGTCTTATTTGTGTATACATGTATTTATAAACTATAATGTAAAATTGCTGAAATGCTGATCAACTTAAGGTTAAAATTATGTGATATCGTGTATATTCAAATTGGTCTACTTTTTTAATAATAATATTGTAACAATACTACAACATCAAATATAGAACAATCTTTTATGTATGGAACCATCGCTATGAAATATAGAAACTTCTTATCTAAAATTATAACAATATAGATATACATTATTGAGCCATTTCCTTGCTTTTAGTATTAATATTTATATCAATATTACTATAACGAGCTACCTATTTACCTCCAGTGTAACGGTACTGCAAAAGCAAATCTATTCATTTCTTTAATTCTGGTGTAAATATAGGACGGTATAAAATAGAGTATTTTACTACTACAATGCAGATATCGCTTTTCCGTCTTTGCGTATTGCAGAGTTATCTTCTCTTGGGAGCAGGTATTGATTGTTACGTCATTGGTTTGTGTGTGAAAATTACGTCGTTTTCTCAAAAACTGATGACGTTACTCTCACAAACAAGTGACGTAACAATCAATACCTGCTCCCAAGAGAAGATAACTCTGCAATACGCAAAGACGGAATAGCGATATCTGCATTGTAGTAGTAAAATACTCTATTTTATACCGTCCTATATTTACACCAGAATTAAAGAAATGAATAGATTTGCTTTTGCAGTACCGTTACACTGGAGGTAAATAGGTAGCTCGTTATAGTAATATTGATATAAATATTAATACTAAAAGCAAGGAAATGGCTCAATAATGTATATCTATATTGTTATAATTTTAGATAAGAAGTTTCTATATTTCATAGCGATGGTTCCATACATAAAAGATTGTTCTATATTTGATGTTGTAGTATTGTTACAATATTATTATTAAAAAAGTAGACCAATTTGAATATACACGATATCACATAATTTTAACCTTAAGTTGATCAGCATTTCAGCAATTTTACATTATAGTTTATAAATACATGTATACACAAATAAGACTTGCACTTGTATAGTTTATAAATACATGTATACACACAAATAAGCCTTGCACTTGTATAGTTTATAAATACATGTATACACAAACAAGCCTTGCACTTGGTCCCGATAAACAACTTTTTTGTAAACCATACTTCAAAATCACAAAATATAATAAACAGAACATTCAATGGTTTCTCATTGGATAACAAAGATATGATGGCAGTTTTGTATTTGAAGTTTTCGCGAAATTGCAAGCACCGTTAACCTATCTTAAACATCTGACATAGGTGTGAAATATATTTGATGTCCATCGGTAAACCATTGCTGATCCTCGTTATCTTCTTAAGATAAAGACAATATCACTTGATATAAAACAAATATTCTTATATCGTCACACAATACAGACGGCAATAATCTCTAGANCTCCATTAGATATCGCTGTATCAATGACAATACCTCCATTAGATATCGCTATATCAATGAAAATACCTCCATTAGATATCGCTATATCATTGACAATACATTCATTAGATATCGCTATATCAATGACAATACCTCCATTAGATATCGCTATATCAATGAAAATACCTCCATTAGATATCGCTATATCATTGACAATACATTCATTAGATATCGCTATATCAATGACAATACCTCCATTAGATATCGCTATATCAATGACAACACCTCCATTAGATATCGCTGTATCAATGACAATACCTCCATTAGATATCTCTGTATCAATGACAATACCTCCATTAGATATGCACGAAGACATTTATGAATTATAGACTTCTGTTGAGGTGGATATTTCGTTATAGGGACCGGCATTTTCTGTGTATTACATTTCGTGATTTTGAAAGCATTGATCCATTTTTTTTCATCGGGACAAAGTGCATGGTTTGTTTGTGTATATTAATAAACTATACCAGATTTGTTTTGGTACTATTGCGTAGCATTTCGGAAACGTCAATTTAACCTTGCTTTTCCGAAACATACATTATGTAAAATTGCTGAAATTATTTTCGTCTATAAGGTAAACTTTGAATGGAAACTTGAAATATAATCTGGGTGATAAATAGAAAAACCGGTATTGGCCTTGCATTTCAGGGTGTAGTGTTGGCACCGTTCGCTACACATTCCATTCGACTCCAATTATAGGTACAATTATAAATTTTCTAAAGGTGTATTGGTTGACTCGGTGAAACCAAAGCTAATTTCTGTTTAACGTCACAAACAAATTCATGTTTTTAAATTGAAATTTTAACATATCTGAGTGGGCTAATTAGTGACGTTTCATCTAGGGGTAAAATACTTACTCTATCGTGTTATGGTAAAATACTAACTAAGGTAAAATACTAACTTTATAATATTAATGTAAAATACTTACTGTATAGTGTTAAGGTAAAATACTAACTTTATTGTGTTAAGGTAAAATACTTACTTTATAGTGTTAAGGTAAAATACTTACTATATAGTGTTAAGGTAAAATACTTACTTTTCAGTGTTAAGGTAAAATACTTACTTTACAGTGTTAAGGTAAAATACTTACTTTACAGTGTTAAGATAAAATACTTACTTTACAGTGTTAAGGTAAAATACTTTATAGTGTTAAGGTAAAATACTTACTTTTACAATGTTAAGGTAAAATACTTACTTTACAATGTTAAGGTAAAATACTTACTTTACAGTGTTAAGTTAAAATACTTACTGTATAGTGTTAAGGTAAAATACTTACTTTGCAGTGTTCAGGTAAAATACTTACTTTACAGTGTTAAGGTAAAATACTTACTTTATCGTGATAAGGTAAAATACTAACTTTATTGTGTTAAGTTAAAATACTTACTTTATAGTGTTAAGGTAAAATACTTACTTTGCAGTGTTCAGGTAAAATACTTACTTTACAGTGTTAAGGTAAAATACTTACTTTATCGTGATAAGGTAAAATACTTACTTTATAGTGTTAATGTAAAATACTTACTTTATAGTGTTAAAGTAAAATACTAACTTTACAGTGTTAAGGTAAAATACTTACTTTACAGTGTTAAGGTTAAATACTAACTTTACAGTGTTAAGGTAAAATACTTTATAGTGTTAAGGTAAAATACTTACTTTACAGTGTTAAGGTTAAATACTAACTTTACAGTGTTAAGGTAAAATACTTTATAGTGTTAAGGTAAAATACTTACTTTATAATGTTAAGGTAAAATAATTACTTTACAATGTTAAGGTAAAATACTTACTTTACAGTGTTAAGATAAAATACTTACTTTACAGTGTTAAGGTAAAATACTTACTTTACAGTGTTCAGGTAAAATACTTACTTTATAGTGTGAAGGTAAAATACTTTATAGTGTTAAGGTAAAATACTTACTTTACAGTGTTAAGGTTAAATACTTACTTTACAGTGTTAAGGTAAAATACTTACTTTACAGTGTTAAGATAAAATACTAGCTTTACAGTGTTAAGGT